CCCCGAAATGAAAATTTGAAAGTTGTGTCAAGGAACTACAAAGTTATTTTATTTCATCAAATAACAAAAATTTCGTATAAGCTAGAGAACGTTTTTGGAAATATATTCTAAATAATAGTTTTTAGTGATGAAATAATACAATTTCGACGGCGAGCTCAAAACGGTAAAAACTTTGTTATGTTTAGTTAGTGTTTAATGATCACTTGTTAAATACATGAAATAATAAATATGGTTTTCAGAAGAACGTAGTTTAATGTTAGCTTCATTTCATATAGCTCTACCTTATAAGTAATGACTATAATGAACTATTTGAGGTAAAAAAATTGAAACTTTATGAATATCAGACGTACCACGACTTATAACATTACGATAACGATTTTCTCTAGTTCTAATTTCTTTTTTTGTATTCGCTCGTTTTCCAAACATGTACTCATACAATAAAGCTTAACATTATAAACTAATTGCATAAACTACTATTTCATGTTTTTTCAACTTTGAGTGTTGAGGCGGTGGGTTGCGGCTTGCGCAGGAGGAGCGGTTCCTGTTCCCCGCGTACCCGCTGGTGTGCCTGTGCGGCGCGGTGGCCGTGGACTGCGTGCAGAAGCTGTGCTACCGCTTCGCGCTGCCCCGCCCGCGCCAGCGCTCGGGCCCCGCGCCGCGCCACTACCTCCACTCCACGGCCCCGCTGCTGGCCGTCGCCGTCGCCGTCTGCGCCGCCCTGGGCGTGGCGCGCGCGCTCGCCCTCTACAACGGTCAGTCTCCGCGTTGCCTTGGAATTGCATGCCAAGTACATTAATATGCATATTTGGTTCATTTTGTCTGTCGGTGCATGTTCCTGTAATTATAGACGCTTTTCATATTGCATCAAAATAGAAACTTCTCTAAAAGAAGAGAAGAAAATTTGCAGCCAAATGATCTGTTTATTTGAAGAGCGTGCCTCTAACTTTCGTGGATGTGGAAAGATGCTTTTCGATGTCCAAGACTGTTGGTAGACAATTTTCGGACTTTTATTTTGATAATATGCGCGTGGTATTTGAGGCATACTGCACTGCAGCAGTGAAATTGTAGAAGTAAAGAGAAATTGTAAGATGAAAATACATTGACGATAAAGCTATTGAGTGTTCTCCTCTAAAGATAAAATATTTGCGCAAATGTAGGATATTTCTTGATATACTTTTTTAACCAGGCCGAAGAAATGCCACAAGACGTACTACAATGTGCTTCACTAAGGTGAATATTCACTTCAATCATTTCTTCATCATTGAATCAAAATTGAAGTACATTATATATGCATAAAAATATACATTTTCATTCCAAGCTTACAAGATTGCTTGTCTCCTGATATTTTTTCAAAAAAGGTTTATGGAGAAAACAAAATATTGTTAATTTTAAGTGCATATTTCATGATTTTTTAAGGCAAACTCCTCTCTCTCTTTTCATCACACGTATATAGATTATCAACGCCTATGCTGAACGGTGGGGTAGCAGTAAAGCCAATAAACTGCGTTCGACGCCATCTTACTATCATTCCGTTCTGAGGCGTTGTACGTAAGTGCAATGCGATTCTTTGTACTTCTTTCATTTGCGACTAATCATCGTAACAAAATGAATCACATGTGTAATTTTAAACATTTCAAGAATCCTTTAGTGGGTGACACTCGAATTATTTCTCGTAATTCGGAAGCATTGCATTTCCATAACCTCATTTGCGTTCGTATAATAGTGATATAACATTGACTCCTTGGAGGTCACTTAATTAGCTCAAACATTAATTAGTTGAATGATCAAAATTACGTACACTAGCTCGCTAACATTTGGTATGAAGCATAATATGTAAGATAAATTCCTTAGATATTAAATATAATTCTTAATATAAATACATTCTTTACATTTATTAATCTCGTCATTTTGCAAAATTAGGATTGCTGATACTAAACAAATTAAATTCACGGAAACAATATACTTCAAGTACCATAAGACTATATTTGCTATGCTACCGTTTAAGTGAAGTTACGTGTGGTGCGCACTGCCATCTTAGCTTCTCCCGTTTGGCTTCACTTGCAGGATCAGCACTGCCAATCTATTTCTGTATAGAATCTGTAGTTCATCACGTCACTAAAGAACATATACAGACATAAGGAACGACGTTGGTATGACCTTTAACCATTTCGTTATAACAAAACACGCGTTCAACAAAAAAGCTGCGTGATATATCAAATAATTTAGTCAGTTAGTGAGTCATTTTAAACACGGTGCGAGACAAAATAAGGGAAATTTTTATGATGCCAGATGTTTTAGATTTTTTGACCTTGTGGGATGTCTTCGCAGGGAGATATTTTGAATGTTTTCTCCCCCTTAAATACATCGGGAATAGCATTCGTGAACATAAGAAATACCATCCGAATTTACATATGGTTGTCGAACTGGAGGCTCGCGGGCCGCATGCGGCCGGTGAATGGTTATTAATGAAATATGAAAGTCCCTTTCATCCATGTCGAGCAAGAACATTGTGCGCCTAGAGCCTGCGGCCTGTTGGGGTCAACCCCTTAATGTAAAAGTCGGTTAAGTTTAAATTTCAGATTTTTTTTGTAGCAAATTCTGAAATTCAAAATCATCGCAGTATGTTTTACTGCTTTGTGCATGGTACAGCCCGATGTCACGCATGGTTCCATTCCCCTCCTCCCGTTTCGGAGCAGCCGGGCCAACTAACAAGATCAATACGGTTACGTGTGCATCGCCCGAACAATGGAAAAATGACCTGTAACCATATTAAAGATTTTAATATGGCCCTTGATGCTTTGCAAGTTGGACACCCCTGCGTTAACACTTACTAACAATATTTTACGCGATTATTTTCGTCTCATCTTTTCAATATTCTTCATGAATACTTGTGATACGTCTGCTAGTTGGCATGCATTAATTGCAACTGAAACACATACGACAATCAGTTTATCAGTATTGAAAAACGCAACAGTTTCTATTTATCGGCGGCCATATGTAAGACTCCAAAGCTTCAACAACTAACAGAGAAACGAGGTATGACTTGAGCAACGAAACAAGCGACTTTTTTGCTCAGAGGCTTCACATTTTGGCTTGAGGAGCACATACAGTACATCTACTAACACGGGACAGACGGCTTTTTTCCTTTAAAGATGGCGTACGAAGTATTTTTTCGCCCTGAATATCCACGGCTTCGATCGTGTTTGAGCGCCGCAAACTTGACATTGTTATCGGATCGGACTGTTTAACATATCGGACTGTTAGCATAACAGTCCGATATACTAAACGTTACACCATCGCCGCCGCGAATTACTTAACGGGAAACCGAAATGTTTGAGAATTTATTTTCAAAATTGTCTCCAAATTTGATTACAATTTTTCTTCAGATAGAGCAAATGACGCTTTTAAAATGGCACATCTCATTTTTATTAACTCTAAATTATTTGAAGGTTCAGTTGTTCTAAATTATTACAAAATTTCCGTTGTTTGGCGTCTTTGTACAATTACAATATTGATAATTGAGATTTTATTAAAATTATTCTTATTAAAATTGTTTTTCAAAGACATGTTTAAATAAGGTCAAGCTTTTGTTTTTCAAAAATAGTATGAGAGCAAATTAAAAAGTAAGTTACACTTCCAAGTTATAGCCATTTATGAAATCTCCACATAGTCCCCAAGCGACTGTAAACATTTCTCGAAACTGCCAACTAACTTTTCGATTCCGGGTGTGTAGAAATCACCTCCAGCGCTATGCAGCCACCTGGAGACAGCAGCTTTTCCTAATCGTTTGGGACTCGTCCACTGAGATCCTTTTTTAGTTCACCGAACATGACAATTGCATGGCGCTTATGTCTAGACTGTGCGGAGGATGCTCCGCTTCAATCGGGCGATTGGCGGGCCGTGTGAGACGTTGCGTTATCGTGCATTCTCCCCGCCGCTTTTCTTTAATTCATTTACGCAACCAATTCAACGTTTGACAATACGATGTCGAGTTGATTTTCGTTCCTTTCGCCATAAATTCCTCATGCAGCACACCCTGTATGTCAAAGAACACTGTCGCCATTACCTATCCTATTGAAGGTTGGGCCTTGGCCTTCTTTCGTGGTGGTGATGTGGTGCGCACTCATTCCATCGATATTTCTTTGTTTCATACTGGACCTACGTTTTATCTCCTGTGGTGATTCGCGTGACTGGTGAACAATGGAGAACACACTACCATACGAAATGCTCAGCATGCTGGCAATTTCCTGCAGGGTTATGCGCCGATTCTCTGTAATGATCCCATTCTCACCGTCAACATTTGCGACGGTACTGGTCGTGGCGGGCCTGCCATCGCGATATTCGTCTGTGAGACCTGTGCGTCCGGCGTCAAATTGCTTTCATCACTTCACAATACGTAGGCGAGAATTTGCATTTTCATCATATACGCAGCAGTGATTTCACGATGACCGACCGACTTGAGCGGTTTAGCCAGTAGTGGCGGCTCGTGCTTCGGTTGAACGGTTGCACAACTCCCAGATGTAATCGAAGAAGATATCTTAGTATCTTAGGAGTATACATTTTCCTTTTATGGCAATTAATATTCAAGAGTTGTGGCAATATCGATGTATATGAAATCGTTTTGAAACCAAAGAACGTTGAACTGCCGCTGTCTCTCCGATGCCAGCTGCATTCCCAGGTATTGTACCACTCTCTTCGATCTTGACTGTATTACTGAGTTTACTGCATTTTTCTCTCTGGCCCTTCGATTTAACACGGGCGGCATAGGCCGTTTTGGTTGTCCAACCAGCTGGTGGCCCTCACTAGCGCTGCGCGGCTAGGGAGTCTCAGGGGAATCTCAACATTCTGTCATCGTCAGACTCACTGCAACGTCATTCTGTGAATTTCGCTTGCTATTGAAAGTACAGAAGTTCAGTCAATTATTGGCAACATTCAGTGCATTGTTTATTATATTTGGTGAATTTGTTTTCATTTGATATTAGATTTACGGATTTAAAATGTACCTTTGATGAAATCATTGTGTTGGCTGATCTGGAAGGAAGTCCCTTTCTCCGTAGATTCAGCAGGCTGCAGTGACACCACGGTGAGCGCTGGTGGAATATAAACGTCTGTGTGGAAGGATCTTTCTTTCAAAATATGCTAGGGTTGTGATATTTTTTAAATAAAATAATTTTTTCGTGTGAAACATGTCGATGCAATTGTGCTTGTTGCGATGTGCTGGAGTCGAACTTAAGTGTCCAGTGGAAACCAAACCCAGAACCACGTACGGGAGGTGTATAATATTCCTGATTCGGTCACGACGCTTAAAATTATCTAAGTAATGATTCAATATAGACTTTTATTTAACTTAGTTTTAATTAATTTGAGTTTCTTACATTTTCATCATATTTTCATATATTATGAATTTTTTCATCATATTTTCATATATTATTCATAATTTCATTATATTATGAATTTTGGAAATTACATTCTGGACACCTGCCGCCACTGCATTTAGCCCATAGAAATCCGATCGTTGCACGCACCTTCAATTTGGCCATCCAGTTGAAGCGCCATTGAGCCTAGTCCGCTCTGCACATACAACACGACGGAATACCACAGCAACCTTATTTTTACAGAAAATATCACCGTGTGAAACAGGCGTAAGAGACTTCGCTTGTTCACTACAGAAAAGTCGTCAAACGTACAAAACATAGTCCGAAAAAAGTCTAGATCGTACCAGGAATATTTGGCTCGCTCGCTCGCATCACTGAAAATGTCTTGCAACTCAATTTTGAGTCCAATGAAAATGAAATTGCCTTCAAAGTCTGTGTTCACTCTCAAGGTGGGATAACAATAGGCGAATGAGGAAAATAGGAAGCGAAGTGCGAGAGCATTGGGGCCCTCGTGTCTCTTTTTTGCGTATTTTTACTCTCTGCAATTGGATTCCCGTGTTTTTTAGAGAAAAAAGAAACTATCTCGGCGACGCTATATTTAAAAATGACCGAAGTTAGTTCGAATTTGTGTCAAGCTTATAATTGTTTATTGGAAGTTATGCGCCAAATTTAAATAAATTGCGAAGCAATATGATGACATATTTATATTGTTGATTGAACGCTAACTTCCTTTGCATTTCAGGCTATCATGCGCCTTTGGACGTGTTCATGGAACTGAACAGCCTGAATGCTGAGTATAACATGGTCTCTAAGAAGACCATCAACGTCTGCATGGGCAAGGAATGGCATCGATTTCCTTCCAGTTTCTTTCTTCCGGGGGATAAGTGAGTTACAACTTTTTATTTTAAAAATTTTGTTGTAAAGAATTAAAATAATACACTTTGCCAATGACGTACTATATATTTCTAATTTTTCAATTTACATTTTTACTCCTCCACAGATTTAAACATAAATTGAAAATTACAAATCATGGCTCCCAAAGAGACATTTATAGAAACTGTTTTGATTGATTAATGATTCCGGGCGCATCAATTACTGAGGTCTTTAGTCCGGAAAGTGTAGTGCATGTTTTTTGTCGCTGAAGGTGGCGGTGATCTCCCTGGATGGCGAGATAAAGTGCCGAACTACATGTCGCACTTCGAAGTAAAATGCGTAAAACCTGGCGTAAATTCGAAAACAACATTTTCTAGTTGATCATTTTCAACTCAACTACAGTATTTTTTGCTATTAAATCCCGTATGGGCTACTTTAGGTAAAAATACATTAAATTTAATGGGTTGAATATGTGTGATATGTAGTTATAAATACGTTTTAAAGAGTTTTTATAGACATACCTAAATGACTTGACTCACAGCAGACACTTGCTTGGTGCTGTGCACACATGGCGTTTGAGAAGCGTCCGCTGAAGTAACTACGATCGCCATCGACCCCATTATGATTGAAAAATGTTCAGAACAAAACTTAAACGTTACAAGACAAGGATTTTGTATTTGTTATTTACTATATTAGCGAATAAAGCACAAAAATATCACTGACGTAACTACAAAGACGTAGTAGGTCGTCTGACAGACGCCTTTCTAAACTAGGATTACAGAACAAGGATTAAGAACAGTTAACCGCGATGACACAAAAAAAAATTCTTCTTATCGGAACATTTGAGCATCGTCGCACTTTAGCATGCAGTGCATCTAAAAGTAATGCTTTTACTAAAATATTATTTGTTCAAATGTTTCAAGTTCATAATCGAAAACTCAAATAGTCATTTTTGTTGCATTCTTCCACTTTTTCCAAAATTCATCTACCATATTGAATCGGCCAATTTGAATTTTTCATTTTCGATATATTCGAAATCAGTAAGTTCAAAAACACGAATATACTCATTTTTGTTTCATTCTTCCGCGATTTTCCAAATATCATCCGCCATTTTGATATCATATTCGCAATCAGTATACTCGAGAACACGAATATACTTATTTTTGTTGTATTCTTCCACGGTTTTCCAAATGCCATCAGCCATATTGGATCTGCAATGTAAAATTTTTCATTTTTGATATATTTGTATTTAGTGAGGGCGAAAACCCCAATCTAAGCTCCATTATTTTGCATTTTGCAAAAGATATTGAATTTTAACCATTTTTAGGCATTTCATCCCACTGCACGTTAGTTAGCTGGGATTTCCCCAACCAGATACCTCCCACCTGCGGGCCGCCTCCCCAACTGGGGCAAGCTCTAAGCTCCCGATATGTGCGGTAGAGTAGTGCATGTAAGTGAAAGTGTGTGTAAGTAAGGAGCGCGGAGAGGTCAAGGAAGAGGAAGGAAAGACGGCGCGCGGTCCGTGGCCCGTTTGGTAGGGTAATGTTCCAGCATTCGCCTAGTGTTGATTAGAGAAACCACGGAGAACTACCGATCAGAGCAGCCGGCCGCTAGAGTTCTCCTCCAGGTAGCGGCTAAATTCGACCTCTGTAGCTTGTGTCAAAATGCCGATACAGTTTGGTCTCGAACCCTAGGGCTTCCAGGCCAGAGATAGTAGAGGAGTAGAGCATCGCCGAGCGAAACGTTTTCTTCTTTCAGTCATGTGCCCTGGAACGCAGGTCTGTGGTCTCAAAATGGCAGTTCGGCGCGTGTTTAAGGTTAGGGATAGTTGTCACGAGTGACTAATATCGTCACTAAATAATAATCATAATTTCGATACAAAGTATGTCGAACAGCAGATGAGAATATCTGTCGTATGAATTGAATCAGCAAACACATGTAAAAGAACAGACTACAAATACCGAATCTCTTAGAGCTCGTGCTGTTCACTATCATCAAGCTTTTAAATAAACTTGCTAAATTTTAATCTTAGAATTGTGCAAGTGAATATTTCATGAAATTGAAGTTTTAAACTGTGCTATTGTTACCTTGTAGTTACATTAGTACATTTGTATCATTCGAACGTTCTGCAGTTGGCGAATGACAGAAGGAATAAGGTGTAAAGGGACTGAAGGACACGTTAACCAACGTTTGTGAAGTAAATGTGGGACATTTATACGTATTAATCACCGACCGCGGCCAATTTCGTTTGGCATCAAGGATAGTCACAAAAATCGCTCACATGACTAAACAGGCAAGACCGACACAGGATTAACTGAGAACAATTCCAACAGTTCGTCGAGTTCTTTGATGTGCACATACGTGTTTATTTATTACGTGAATTTCATAAGGATCAATTCTCCCCCGGTGAACCTCTCCGGAATACATGATTCGATGCACACCAATAATTACCAACATTATTCTATAAAACCGAAGTCCTCTAATGAACTTGCCGCATGGATCGATTACAAGAAGACATTCACCGACTGTGGGTAGGTACTACATGAATAGATAAGTAGAATTTAACCGCTGTCCAGAGGAGAATTAGTCGACTGTTGTGTTCGGTAGTTTTCCGTGGTTTGACAGATCAACGGCAGGTGAATGTCGGAGCACTACCCTAACAAACGGGCCACGTACCGCGTGCGATCATTCCTTTCTCTTCCTTACCCGATCCTGTCCGTTCACACACATGCTTACAACCACTACTCTGTCACCCATGTCGAGAGACCAATTGGCGCTGAAAGCTCGTACCGATTGGGGCGGTGCCTCGCTGGGGGAGATACCTCGAGTAGGCCAGCGCCACGCCGTGGGGAGGATGCAACGTTTATCTCCCTAACGGTAATAATTCACCTCATTAATATCCATAGCAGTGCTCGGAAACAATAATAAGCCGTGAATTGAGAAGGTTCGTAACACAGTTGGATATTGCAAAGAGATGGGTCTCATCCTGTGCCTCCGTGCCACTGTAGCATCGAAAGGAAACAACGAAAACACGTTTAAGTTGTAATGTTTTATTCAGTACCCATGCATGGAAACTAGTTATTACCTTCATTGTTTATTGAGTAAAAGGTGTTACTTTGCGGAGCGCGTGCGGGAAAATATACTTTGTAATAAGGTTACTGCAAAGACATCATGTCAATATAAAGAACTGCAAAATAATCAATACTCTGAGGTGTATATCGACATGGCTACTGCGAATTATTACAAGAGTAGGTCTACATACATGAAAGTTTCCGTGAATTCGTACTAAAAAATCAAGATCACAACTCGTACGAAAGTGTCTTTGGCATACTTGTATTTCAAAATGCTGGACCCGGCTCTAACCGGCACCTCAGCATTCATTCGTACGCCAAGGACTAACTTTCTGTACTAGTTACGTAAATATTTTCTAATGAATGTGTATGTTTACAGTTGGCAGCTACAATTCTTGCAGTCTGAATTTCGAGGGCAACTTCCAAAACCCTTCAGTTCGCAGCACAATGGAACGGCCATCATTCCCAGCCATATGAACAACTTAAACAAAGAGGAACCTAGCAGATACGTAAGTAAGACGTAGTAAATGACAAAATGCCAGTGCAATTTGTAGATAAGATCCAAATGTGATAAACTTCGTAAAAACACGTTTGCCCTCAGAAAAGGGTTTACACCTTAAGCGTTCATTCATTGAAGAAAAGAATGGGAGGGAACATAAAATGAGGCCTGGGAAAATGTGTTGAGCTGCGTCCACGCAATGCGTCTTTTCGTTCAATTTGTTGCAGCGTCGAACGCCTGCAATGACGAGTGCGTCTTTTCTCGGAAAGAAAGGACGCGTGCAATAGCGCACGGCTGCCTGGGGGCGGCGAGAATCTCGGGCGTCTTGGGCGTGCGTTTTCTGCAAGAGCAAATAGCGTGTACCCTTCAAAACAATTAGCATGCATTCCTTGCGCTTTTGAAGCCTTAGGTCACTGTGAAGGGGTGGGATATTTTGTGCGTTTTTATAGTTCAAGCTGGTGGTCGACAATTACACTTTTGGGTAGTAATGGATGCAGACGGGGTGTAAAATATTCAAAAATGTTTTAATCTCTTCTAGATTTCTTGCGTCCTATCAATTCTTGAAGTATTTTAAACTGTCCGTGTCGTGCATACCAGATAGAATGGGTCAGTTGAATTTCAAAACATTGAGACATTTTTTTATTTTATTTCAATATCTCTACAGAGAAGACATTTTTGGTGCTTTTTGCAATTCTCTCTGTGAAGCCGACGTTTTTTGAGGTGGCAAACATCAAATTCGAATAAAGCACCCTCAAAAACATATAGAGCCGTGTTGAGGCTGCGAAGAATTGCTTAGATGATTGGGAGAGCATCAGCAGAAACTGCGACGAGAAGTTTTATGCATCGCTTTCTATGTTCTCATCAGACGAGAGACTTCTGGAAAAAGCGCTACATAATTGACAAAGATTATTACGTTGCCATAAGAATCAATGAGTATTGAAGATTAAATATGGTAAATTAAAGATGTCTGGTATCAAAAAAATCTAATTTACCATATTTAATTATTAGAAGGTATCTACCTACCCGCTATCAAATTAATGAGTATTGAAGAGATTGTCATGGTTACCTATGACTGGACGAAAATCAATGATCTCCTTGCAAATTTCACGTCATTTATGCTTTCTGCTTTTTCGCTCCGCGTCTCAAAGCGTTGGTTCAATTAAACTACATAGTTGCTTGCTGCCAACGTATCACGAACTTTCAATGCTCCCAATATACATATTGCTTAGCTTCTCTGCACGATCGCTATGAAAATGGTCGCGGCTCCTCTGATTTTGAAAAAAATGCAAGCTCGTCGCGTCTGATGTAAAAAAAAATTGGATTCTAGGAAATCTGACAATGAGTAAATCTTCCGTCGCGGCCGCCCAGGTGGTGCAATCTATTGGTGACTTTTCGAAGCAGTTGAAAGACAATTTCAAAGAGCTTTGTACAAAAATGAATTTGGAATCTCGAAGACGGGAAGTTTGAAATGTATGATATTGTCTTCTTAAATGCCTTCAAAGAGTAGATAAACTGAGATATTCGAAGCGAGACGCCAAATTTGAATTAATTTGGCCGCCCATGTACGCCCAAACGGGCTTCCTGGATCGGAACGGAAAAACTGGATCAGGCCCTTTTCAGCGCCAATTGACTGGACTATGTGCCAAATATGTGGGCTCAGTTATTCATTAGTAGGGATAGTTAACAATGCTTGCTACAGCATTGTGATCACGAAGTGAGATTCGGATAGTTTTGCGTAACTTAATGCATGATTTAAACCAGAATTGTAGACCAGAGCTTCGAATAAATGACCTTACCTCTAATTATAGTGTTTCTCCATTTGAAATAAAAATTGCCTCAGCTAAGCCAACAGCACAACGTTTTTCGCTGTGTACTTGTTTCTCTCTCTCTCTCTCTCTCTCTCTCTCTCTCTCTCTCTCTCTCTCTCTCTCTCTCTCTCTCTCCTCTGTCTCCTCTCTCTCTCCTCTCTCCCCTCTCTCTCTCTCTCTCTCTTTCTCTCTCTCTCTCTCTCCTGTAGAGAAAAGTCTAAGAATAAAAACAAAAAGGTCATAAGTAAGTACCAATTTTGTGAGCATCGCGAATCTTAATTTACTCCTTCAGTAACCGAAGTGCGTGTTCTTTGAGTTCTTTTATTTCTTCGATTTATTTCTGAGATGCGATGCAAGGAAGTTTAAGCTTATGAAATCACAGAAGTAGTTGTCGAAAAACTGTATGAACTTAGAAACTGTATCAAATGCCCAACCAAACTATTGTAACCTTCCAGATTGTCTTCGCCATGCACTTCGACTGCTCTGTCATACCCAACAGAGACTTTAACATTGCGATAAGTTCTTTCCTGTTTCTGTTTAAGCGTATTTCTCAAGCGTTCCCGTCTTCTTCATTAATCAATCTATAGCGATTTAGCTGCACGCGCTTTTCATGTATCCCTCACCTTTGAAGTAGTCTCTTCACACTCAGCAGCGGTTCCGAGTGGCGCTGTTAGTGGCAAAGCTTTGGTAGAAATGTGGTTGTAAAAATCGCGGTGGTTCGAGCATGTACGGACTGCGTGCCGCTCTATTAATTCATAGTTGCCTCCGATAGTTGAGCATTGTCCTGTAGTTTCACAGCGTGGGAAATAATAAATAACACGGCCGAGGGAATGCAACGGTTTCCCGCTCCCGAAAAAGATCGTAAGGACGAACGTTTTGCCGTCGCCGGAAGAGGACGGGCCGGTCGGCGCGAAGCGCCTCAGAGTAAATGTTACAAATTCTGGGGGAAGTAGAAGGGACGGAAATTATTACTTTTTGCAATTAACATGTTGTTGACACATTGCCGGCCAAATTACTTCAAATTCGGCGCCTTGTCTTCTTTAACAGGGCGTTTGATGTTCTTTGAAGGCGTTTCAGAGGAAAGGATAATACATTTTGAACTTGGCGCCTCCAAGATGATTTATCTCTTAATTTCCCCCAAAAAGCCGCGCGAATTTCTTCTCTGTTGATAAAACATTCAGTTCTTCGTGCAAAGTTCCTTGAAGTCGATTGTCAACTTCTTTCTATTAGTTCGGAGCGTCACCGAAAGATCGCACCAGCTCTTAGTGGTGCGGCTCCCGCGTAAAATTGGCATTGTCGAAATACTAGGAATTTTCCATCGTAGACGCCTGCTCGCATTGTCACCACAAGCTAATGCAGAAAGCTGAGTAAAAGCGTTTTGAACGTCTTCAAGGTTCGATCAAGAGTGTGCCAGGCACTGGATGTAATAGAAACACGAAGCAAAAGCCACGGAATTCGTAAGGAAAAGTTTAATTTCGTTTGGACAGAGGTAACTGTGACAACTTCTTCAATAAACGTTAATTCTTTCTCCAAGTAACAATCTTTGTCAATTGTGTGTCATTTCTTTTCCAGAACACCCTTGTCTGATAAAAACTACTGAGGTAGAAGAGGCGATGTTCCGTTGGCATTTCCATCAAAAATGCTCTCCCAACTTTTCTTCGAGTATTTCGCCTTCTGAACACATGTGGTGCGAAACTTTACAAAGCTACACATGTGTCGTTTGCCCCTGATTTTACGCAGCTTCCGAGTATTCGGCATGTCACGTTCTGAGGCAGTCGAGGAGATTCCCGCCGAACATATGTGCGTACGGGGTTGCCTAACAATCAGGGGCACACGCCACGTGACCATGCGACTACCTCGCCCGGATGATCGCTTGGCGGGGGGTCGATAGTTAACTCGTTCCTATTGGTGATCGGGGAGTCCTCTGCTGACGCAAAGGGTTTCATTTCGATCTCGGGGAGCGTCTTTGCAGCTAGTCGGCCCACCTCACATCACATGTGAAAGGGAGGTTATCTAAGGCGATATGATTCAGAACTGTAAAATGCATTTACTAACATTCCTATTCACTGGAGATCAATAAATGTTACTGGAATTGTAACTTCTACTTGTTTGTGGTGTAATTCTCAATCACACTTCATGCACATTCTCAGTTGCAAGAATTGTTCGGTATTCTTAGGTTCCCAAATCTTGCCAAAAAGAATGTTCTTGAAAGCAGCGGCTTGCAATGGAGAGAGACAGAGACCCCTTTTTGTCTTTTGCCTGGTACCCTCGGCTGCCGACAGCGGCGTCGGAGGACTCGCAACCAGTAAACTTCAGCTGACGAGATGCGCTGTCATTTCTGGGTCTGCAAGTTCTCAGCTTCTTCAGATACTCTCTCATCAGACGACCGCTAAAATAGAGCACTATTTCCGAAAGCGAGCGTGCGATTACATACAAGTTCTAGCTCTGTGGGTGTTCGTCTCCGGTTCGTTAACTGCTGATGCCGTAAAGATGTGGCGACGAGCCGTTATCCACGCTCCCATCGAGTCCCTGCTCCCATGTGCCTGTAAAGGGCGCGATTAGCAAATGCGCGGAGTAAGCGTCTACGAAGTGAAGTTTCAACAGCGTCCAAGTTGAGAACCTTTCTCAAGTGTCGAAGTTTAGAAGTATCAAAAGTCTTTCGAAGTCGAGAATAATATCTGAAATGTTTCGTACAAGCTTTTGAGAAACGTGGTCTTCCCCCCGCACTCTCTCGTATAACATTGTAAGATGAAATTCGCATGCCTTTGCGTCTACTCACGTTGCCCAGCCGCTGTCTGCTCGCTCTGCTTTCATGAGAACGAGGGGATCGCATGTGATCCGAAGAGAAGGGGCTACTGTGCGTTGTATTTACACCGGCGCGGCTTAACGAATTGCTTGCAGCCGCCTGTAAAATTGATTACATGCCCAGAGCAGCGACTTGAGCGACGTGAAGTTTTGGGTCTTGCTTACGCCCGGAAGCACCGGGAGCAGTGACGGATCCAAGAATGGGAGCATGGGGTCCACGGCCCTCCCAAAAAGTCTAGAGTTTGTGTTTGTTTGTTATCTCGCTTTATATGACAAAATTGATTTAAATATTTATGTTGTTCTTATGTAATTATTTAAGAAATATTGTATAGCATCTTACATACACCATAAAAATAACATACAATGCAAGGACAATATGTTTATGACAATATTATTTTGTTGTGTCTCCCGAATCATTTGTTGTGAGTGGTCCTTCTTCAATTCCTGTCCGGACAGCATTACAAGTAACTAGTTCTCGAACACTCTTCGAGGTAGCAGATTCTATGACACTGAAGCAATTTTTGTTCTTATTGTATGCGAAGATAGTATGTGTGATAAATCTGAATCAAGAAAGTATCTATGAAATTGTGTTTTCATTTTGTTTGTGCAAAATTGTGTTTTCAATTATGTTTTACTATACATGTTTTTCAAATTGTTTTCCCACCGAGTTTGCTCTCAATTTTTCAATAAATTGACAGATATAAGTAGCTTGCCTTGTGCAATTTGTAATTCTGAATATAATTTATTGTTGTACAGTTTGATGTCAATCAGTGCCATTTCTTGGTGGATCTGGACTTAGGAGTGGAGACAGAACGAGAACCAAACTACTCCCAGCAGAAAAATCAATGGACTATTCACAAATCTATACCATTCTTAAATGCTGCTAAGTAAGTATTCTTTAAAATGTCTGACACTTTTGAAAACATATTGTGAAAATATAAATATATAAATAAAAACCAAATGTAAATGTATAAACATGTTCCCTGCCATAATAAGAATTTAACTCAAATTTGTGGAGATAAAGTGAATAAGCAACACTTTTCTTTATGAAAAGTTACATCTATACAATAATGTAAATTCCATATAAGTTTTTTAATGGACAAATGTTCTATGCAGATGTTTGTAGGGAAATAATCATTTTCAAAATCGCAGATCCCAGCATGTATTTCTATCGGTGTCATTGAAAATTTACTAATGCTTTCTCTCTATAGAAAACATAGTAACATATCAACAATATATATTATAATAAAAAATTGTGGCATTTGGTTTATTAGAAAACTTAATTGTAAATTGTTATTCATAATACAATGCTTCACTATAAATGGATTCTTACACGTTCTTCTCATAAGAAAATTTCATATATTCCAGATACCTTTTATACAATTTAAGTACATATTTGTATATTGTCTAAATTATTTGTCAAGGAATGTTACATATGTGTGAACACAAGATACTAATAAAATTTTCTTTCCTTTCTTTTTCAGGTCTCACCAATTTTTCAGAGCATTTTATGTTCCATATTTCTCGAATCTGTACTGTACGTATGCATCATACAATCTTCTTATTTCAAGTAAATTGAAGTTTTTGAATGGGGAAAATTCAGGTACCAAGAGATAATAATAATTTTGAATCTATATTTATGTCAATCATTGATTTTGTATGAAGGAAAGGAATTCATCTCATTGCCATTATCTATCCAATATTCAGAATTGATCTTCAGCATTTACTAAGTGTTTGCAAAAATGGTTAGTACTTTTGTTGTTTGATTTGTTTAGTAAATCAATTCAATGAGATGCGGTTATAAAACGTAGGGAACAGCACAATGAAATATAAATTATGTCAAAATGTAATTTTGATCCATAAGTCAAGAAAGCCAAATATCAATAACTTAGTCATATTGGTTGTCATGTATGTTAGTTTGTGTGTGTATGTGAAAGAGAGGGAGGAAAAAGAGACAGGAAGACAGGGAAGTACGTGTGAATGTTTGTTATTGTTGTGATTTGTTAAGGTGTACTAAGTAATTATTAATGAGTTGTGTGCCAATAAAGTGTGTGTTTACTGTCATGTAAAGTGTTGTGTGTTCTAAACTCTAATGCTCTGTGGCAACCTCTTAAGGTCAATGGCCAGTTCTACCTTACCCCCTGAATCAGCATCAATGTAGCACTGAAAAGTCAACCCATCATTGAGACTTTACAATAATAACTTGTAACATTCTGAAGGGGTTGTATGTAGGTGCTGAAAAGTTTAGGTTGTGTTCTGTTCTTTGTGTTCAAACCTGTGAACTCCAACGATTTTCACCTTAAATCTGTTGGGTGCAGGGTTGGGAAGCAATTCCCGCATAGCATTAGCACACTGAGTGAGTTTCTTATAAATTGTCAAAAACTGTCATCTATTCGTAGCATATTATGTGTAGAGTGGATTGTAATTTCTCCCTTACTAGCATGTCTCAGCCATCACTTGCAAAAAGTAAAGAAACAATGCATGTCAGGTGCAGCAGCTGGGTACAGTTGCCATTTCTTAATCATGACACTGTGTAAGAAATTTCTTACACCACACTCATCATTAAATCACAACCGTAACAGTAAGACCTATCACAGTTTCAATCCAGCACCCAAATTACCTCTTAGCTGTTTGACTGCAGTACAGCAGCTTGTGCAGTAACTGTGTAAATTTAGAGAGAGACTTCCGCCAGGCTAGAAATTCCATGCAGCATGATAAAAAAGAATTATGATTTGACATGGATGTACTGATTCTAAAATGGCTACAAACAAGGAAGATTAATGCTTAAAAAGTACCTTAACTCTAATTTACAATTTTGCTCAAGTGATGTCCTTCTCGGCTGTGTGTGCAATGACCTTACAGGGTGGCAGGCATTGTTTGTGGATCCTTGAACAGGCCAGGCGCCAGATAGACACTGAGCAAGGGGGTGACGGCCATCGATTATCCTCTATAGGGGACACTGGCCATTATTCTTATGGAAAAATATTGTGCACTGCTGCTTAATCTATTATTGCAAAAGTAAGTAGAAAAAATATAATCCTGTAGAGAAAATGACGAGAAACACTATAGAAATCATGCACAACGTGTTTTTCATTTGCTTCTTAAATAAAATAACACTGGATTTCTGAGGAACTGACCTTTTAAACACCTTTTTAATCAAACTGTTAAAACACATCCAAAAATTGGTGGAATTATTTTGGAAAAATGGATAAGCTAACAATATTTCAGTTACTTCATATTGGGTAAATGCATTCATTTTTAATTTTTCATAGTAATGTTATGCTGCGGAAAATTGATTTTGAGATTTAAACGGAAATAAACCTTTTGGGGTTCCCTGATACCGAAAAAGTGTTGTTTTTTTTCAAAACATCTGTCCATCCGTGAACACTATTAGCGTCTAAACCAAACGTAGGATTTTTTTACAAATTGAAGAAACCGCTGGGTCAAGTGAATCTTTGAGATATTGAAAAACATTCTTTAAAATTTGAGGGTATTATTCATGAAGCCCCTTGAACATTTCAAAAGTTTCCCAAACATGGCTCTAATTTTATTCTTTAAATTTCTTGTAAAACTAGAGTAAAATACACTGACAAATGTGGCATAGGGCAGGTTATCACAGTTTACTGTTAATTTTCAGAAATTTCAAAATTTCAAATATTTTCAGGTGTCATCCTACACCTATAAAATTGAAGATAGGGATTTTTCCTTCGAATAAAATTTGTTCTCCATAGTGTGTTCTTTTATAAAGGTCATATACATTTTTTGAAAATTTTAGTAGTTTCGCGCAATACAGCTAATTTAAAAAAAAATACAAAATCTAGATTTTTCTCAAAAACAGCTCCAAATTTTTTCTTTAAACTTTTTTTAAATATAGTACTTTTCAAGAATTACAAACATGTATTTTTTTTTTTTTTACTTGTCTCTCAGGTCGTTAATATTTACTTAAGACGCGATTTGTTCACATTATTATATTCATGAGTACATATGCTTTCAAAAAATCCTATAAAGTTTCTCGAAAACTCAACCGTCTGACGGTTGTCGCTTGTGACGCTTTGAAGAGAGAGAGAGGGGGGGGGGGGAAAGCGGAAAAAAAGCCTTTTTCATATCAGGGTACCCCAAAACATGTATTTCCGTTGAAGCCTCGAAATCGATTTTCCGCTGCATTACATAACTTGTGTACGTATATTACTCCGTAAATGCGTATGCATACGGGAAAGTAAAAAGGAAAATGAGATTGGACAAATAACCACCAGAGAAAAATTGTTAACTGGGCTGAAGTATAGAATCAGCAGGAAATGAGGTACGACGATTTTGTACATACGGTACGTCTCAAATTCCATGCATTTCAATTTTAAAATGTTCCTGCAACAATGGTGTGTAATGAAAGATGTTAATGATAAATAATTACCAGATTTCAAATATTCTACATTTTATCGCTTATTGATATAAATGGGATTTTAATTTGAAAAGCGAGATAAAAATATAGTAATGATAGAAATGATATAATATTGTGCCGATATTCAACGAGAAATTCGACAGTTTTGAAATGAGAAAGGGAACATAATGCACTAAGATGAAAGTTGGATAAATGTTGGTTAGTGTTTCGTTTATTGCGTAAATTATCAATATTTGGCGACACAATAAACAATATGAGATTTTTTCATTTTATAAGAGAATACACGTTAAGGGTCCCTCTGCATTAGATATTTATGATAATAAAATATTACGGCTATAATAATAATAATAATTGATAATGCGTGCGAATAAACAGTTTTTTCAGTAGGGGCATGTATGGAGAAAGGTAGCCGTGATTGTGACAATTCGGGAACTAGCGGGCAAGCAACAATGCACGGCTTTTCCATAGGACACATCTGCCTTCACAATGTGAAAAGCAGTATAGATGCACTTACTTCGTTGTCATTTACAAGCTACTGCTACTTGGCCCCATACCCGCGGCGGAGCTGTCGGAAAATTCCCGTGAAGGTTGGTTGCGGCTGGCGAATCGGGAGCAAGGGCACGAGGTTGCAAGAGGCGGCGGCAGCGAGCCCGGGCGATGGTCGCGGACCAGTCTCTGCACTGCCCGGGTGGCCCCAAGGTGAGCCCCAACTGCTCTCGCATTCCTTGCAGAAAATTGAGTGGTTGCGCGATTTTCCGTCTGCCGACTCCCATGGTCACGTAATACGCGACCTGGGCCTCGAATCATAGGCCTAGGAAATGTGGGTGGGGAAGTGATCTTGTAATGGCAGTTCGGTTCTTAAGAATTTGATTTTAACCGAAACTCGAAGGTAGCGAGGGGGAGGTAGACTCGCGCAACTTTTCTTGAACGATGGATTGAAGAAATGCGGATAGAGTGGGAGTATGATTACGAAATTGTAAACTAGATTTTATAAAGCAATGCCAATCTCTGGAGAATCAGCCATGCCTTCGCAACGTCTCAATAATTTGCGTTCTAACTTTCTCAGGTGTTCGAGGTATCTCCTGTAATAGATCTTTACCTGCTTTGGTCATTTCTTTAGACTTATGGAGAAAATAACGGATAGAAGTTTTCGTCTTGAAAGCAAATTGCTTCTACAGTGAAGAAGTGTTTGGAATGTTGTCATTAGTGTTCGCTTGTGAGCTTTTGCCTTCATCTGTTTATCGTGCCAAAGAGGAAGAAAGCAAGGTCATCGTTCAAGAAAAGTTGCGCGATTGACAGCGACTCTGCATTCTTCACACGTCGGGTACCCAAATGTTTCTGGCCGTTGCTAGCCTCTGTGAAGGGGATGCTACCAACGCGTTGTAAACTAAGCTGCACCCTTGCAAGTGCAAGATTTCTGGCTTTTTTCACGAACGCCGTTTCCCATGTTAAATCAAAAATTTCATGCGCGGCGAAAAATCGAGCCTCGAGGACTGCCGCATTACAATATACAGTGCGACCATTTTATAAATGTGCCGGTCGCGCGTGGGTTTGGCCTCTGCGAACGAGGCCACGGATGCTGCAAAACTCGACACGAGGCGGTCGGAAGAGGGAAGGTGGCTTTTCGCTAGCGGAAAGTTTAAATTGTGCTCACGTTACAGCAGATGCTGAAACTGCTCGCCGCTGCTCTGATGCATTCTTCATATCAAAATAAGTTCTGGTTCGCTCGGTAAAAGATGTATCGTGGTATTGCAGTGAAATGTTCTTTAATTGTGCTTAATTCTTCTGGGTAGGGATTTGTCCCAACAATGCGATCGTTCAGGTATCCTCAAAGAAAGAAATTGCACGGAGTTAATCAGGAGAACGTTCCGGCCACAAATCATCTGAAATAATTCTGTCTCCGTAAACGGCCTTAAGAAAACTAAAGCAGTGTGTGCAATTGCGGTGTCCTGTTGAATGACCGTAATTACGCTGATTTGTCAAGATTTAGTAAGAAAGGCTTCAGGAAACTACTCACGTAACGGTTTGACACATTTGATGTATTCACAAACGCTTTCTATTTGAGAGTTGACTTCGAGCGAGCCATCACAAACCGATTATTCAAAAAGACTGGAAAGTATGCCTTTAACAGAGTGAGACCTTGAAACTCTCCTGCCCGCAGCATGAGAAACCCTGTTTTCTGATTCAATTAATTTCCAGTGACCCTTCTAAAAACTAAGTCCAAAAAATATTAATATTGTTTCTTAGCTAATTGACTGAAAAGTGATATATGATTAACGAACACAGCTGAAGAGAAAAAGGGGTGGATATTTCTTCTGAATTCCACTTTGTAAGTTGTGATATATTCATGTTGAAATATTCTTGACAATATCCAATAGAACTGCTCTTTGAATCTGTTTTATAGCAAATATCCAAATTTTAAAATAAGTGTCCACATGATCTGAAATAGATAAATGAAGTTTTATGCAGGAACAGTTTCGATGCATACTTTGACGTTTAACCAGATAACGTGCACATTAGCCAACACAAAATGGATAAACAGATTAAGTACCGATTGTTACCATGATTACAAATAACAGATATGCGATAAAAAGAAATCAGACTGCTGATGGAATGTTTCTCAGACTAGAGGGGAAACAAGGTATGCAGTTGCAAGTTATTTTGCTTCCAATATATACTTCTATTAACTTGATTGCACCACCAAACCGAACCTCACTACATTACCTCAGTATGACACTTTGCTACGCGTTGGGGGGAAAAGGCTCTGGCCGTCGTGATTTCGTAAAACGGAGTTCATATAACACACACTTTTTTAATGGATTTTAATTTTAGACTGAGGTTTAGAACATTGTACAACGTAAAGAAGTTGTTTAAACCGGCACGCGCGCGGCAGCCTTCCCCGCGAAACCTTCCACGCCGAAGGCGTTTTAATAAATAAATTATAAAAATTACACAACGGTACTGAAATATATTTTAATGGTTCGTAATTAGTCACGATCGTGGCGTCATAAGTTAGGAGAGGCGATTTCACTCTAGCATCTTATCGGAACTCCATTATCGAATAATGCCGTAATCATGGTGGTGTGCCACGGTGATTTTGTGTCGGGGTAGCTGTCGAATGGGTGAACTACGGTACTTTGCTGTCGTATAGTTTCGTTTCTTGCACTCTTCTGATTCTTTGAGATTGTGTTCTTGAGTGTCGAGTGTTTGTGCTACGATGGTGTGAATAAATGTGTTGCTTTTTCTAACGCGTTGCACCGAAGAGGCTGTTAGGCTGCGATGGAGTGGGCGCAAGAACGTGGTTTGATTGCTGCAGGATTTACATGGTCTGTGTGTAAGTGTCCGATGAGGTTTGCCAAGCGAAAGGAGTTGTGTGATCGTTTCGAGTGCAAATGCAGTAATAAAGGGCCCACTTCTCACACGCGTGTTCTGTGCGGAAGAGGTCAACCGACGTTTTTGTCGTTCCTTGAGAATGTCTAAACTTTACATTTGAAAGTCAACTTTCCGTAAGTTTTATTAATTTGTTTCAAGGCGCTTAGCGTAATTTGGGGGAGGACTTAAGTATACTCCCCTTCCCAACGCCGCCGCGCTTCTCTAAGGGAGTACCAAGTTCTCTACTTTAAATGGCAAGTGCCCCAAGGTTCACATCTTGGTCCTCTTCTTTTCTTTGTTTATAAATAATATTAACCCTATTCTTAAAATGGTTGACTGCTGATTTGAAACTTTGGCCAAAGTCTAGTATACGGTACAACTTACGGAAGTAGTTTTAACTTGCACTTCGCGCCGCTCCGGCGGTATATATATATAAGTGAATTGGTAATTATGCGGTGGATATACTAAAGGATGTTTATAGAGAACGCGAGGGCCGAGCCTCGCTGAGTTGGATCCGGGCGAGCGAAGCGAGAAAACTTGCCGTTAAAAGTAAATTGACACTACAATGCGGCGGGGACAAAGCGTATGAAGGGCGAGCCATGAAAATCGCCTATCTGTAAGCTTTATTAATTTCTATCAGACCGCGTAGCGTAACTTGAGGGAGTAAGACCTGCCTGTCACATGTGTTGTGTTCACACGTGTCACCTGATGCTGATGACAGCTGTGGCAATGCCTGCGTTCATGAGACACTTAACGTTCTTCGAGCATTTTATTTTATGCGAAACAGCACATGGCGATACGCGTTGACTTGACTCGCGTTGTGTGCCGCTTTGCATAAGAATTAATTTCTTTATTTACAATGTGCGTTGTGACTACAAGCATTACTGCATATCAATGCAGCCGACGCCAATAGCGGTAGGTGACATGTGTCAATGCAATATTCTTGTCACATAGGCCTAAATGTTATTTATGAATTCGCTCGTTTCAATATTTCCTTTAAATGTGTGAAATTTTTAAAATGCAAAGCCACACCATATGTAACTAGTGCCCCTATTTTTCTATTCTGTAGATTTGGCCAAAATTCCAAAATGAAGGTGAAAATTGTTGAAACACCTTGTGTAGTGTGAAATTAAACAACCCTGATCACTAAATTCAATACAAAAATTCCTTGGGCTCCTCTACAATAACGTAAAATTCGTACTTTTCGGTCATCTATGTGATTATCATTTGGACATTATATGGTCTTAACGAGACTCATTATGATCATACAAGTGTGAGAAACATATAATGCACATCTGAAATAATTTAGCATGGAAAGTATAGGAATTTATCCAGGACTTACAAAAAAAACAATGTATAAGCAATTTTCACTGTAGAACGTTAACATAATACATTTCCAATAAATCAATTTGCAACGGAAGACCATGTGCACTGAGTTGGGAATTTATGTAAAGAACACAATGGCAAAAATTATTTTCTCTTGCAATGAGAAATTTATCTTAGATGATCATGAGAACATACACAACAATTTTCTGTTCTTGCCATCTCAATTTGCCCAAGCACCCCCTTTTGCTTCATACGTGAAGTCAGTTTAATACAAAAATTTCAATAATTCCATACCCAATGATTAATACCAATAGATTGCTAATTATTTTCCAACAATTAGGCAACGAACACCTAATTAACACCTCAAGTGTATACGGCGACAAATGCCCTGTGAAAGAGCCCCTTCTCAGCAAGAGCAGTTTGGGCTTGCATCGCTAGATAGGGCCACAGCACTCTTCTTTGGATCTATGCTGGTGCGTTGGCAAAATGGTATGCTTATTTTAATGTGATTATGTTTGACAAGGTGCACATGGGATTTTGATGTTTAAGTAGTCTTGCGTTCCATAGTGATGTTTTCTCTAGAAGATAATAAACTTGAAGAGCTACTGTTAGAGTGATAGTGATGAAAGTGAAGTGATTCTGAGTGGAGGGAAATATAAGACACTTCCATCTAATATTTCTGAAGGTTCTCCAACCATACTTGTTCCTGACAATGCTATGCCTGTAGATTATTTTGCATTATTTTTCAACAATGAAATGATTTATTTGATTGTTGAGAAAACTAACGTTTATACTGATACATTTTTGAAACAATCGAATAGAACAGAACATTACGCGCACCGCGGAAAAGTCACACTGAGAGGGTGGACCGGCCAGATAGGCAAGTCTCACCTGAAAGGTTAAAATGTGCAACCATACACTGTTCGGCACTTCCTGACCAAAACTATTCCGGGAATACAATTTCAACTATGAGATAAAATGTATCACAATTTACCATAGACGTCACAAACATTTTTTCAAAAAAAAGAAAAAACACCCCTGCCATTTCATAACAAAACACTTAGTTTTTAGCCCTCTGAAAAACTTACTATGAAGAGCAGCAATCTAAGGATGAATTGACCTTAGGAGAAGAATACCTTTGACAGGAGTCAAAGGTGTAATGGTCGAGGTTGCATTTTATATATACATATAAAAAGATTGTAATTTCTTGGATCTGAATTCAGTTTATATTGCCAAATATGATCCACATAATTATATTTTAAATAGCTCAATATGACATAACGATGAACCAACATTTCATTAAAAAAAAGTACAGAAAAGAGCACACAATTTATTCTTCAGTAAATTAAAAGAGTTAACAATATTAAACCAAAATAAATTACAATATACATGTTCAATAAAATACTGGCTTATAATCAGATACTGAAATAAAGGGAATTCATATTTCATAAATGAAAGGGGCATTTAGATACAAATCTACAATGAAGATGATTCACTTGGCGAGATAAAAAGATTACTCTAAAAGCTTCCAAACACGTTTTTCCATAAATGGATCATTAGTTGAAGGGCTTAAGCTCTGAGGAAAAATACTAATAAATGGGGAGTAAACATTGTAAAAATCAAGATTAAAGTTTCAATAACATGTAATGCAAATAGTAGGCAAAACTGATTTCCCTAATGTGAGTACTACAAACTTCACCTCATCAATGAACATGTTTTCACTTTGGTGTGCACAAAAAGGAAAAAAAATTAAAATCCAACTAATTTTCCAAAATACATTGTATCATAAAATACATGCTCATTCTATAAGCTTCTGGGACTAACAGCTTCAATATAGTGTTATTATAGACTCTCGTCCCTTTCCAACTCCAACCCATTTTACTGAAACAACAATTTCAAACAGTTAGTATTATTTATCATTGAGATTATTCATAGTCTTTGAAAACTTGCTTACCAGGCACTTCCACTAACTCTTCTATTTTCTCAATGTACTTTTTTGCATTGTCTGGTAGTTTCTCGTATTCACGAATATTTTCAATGCTTGTTCTCCAACCAGGTATTGTTACGTATTCCACCTGCAAATAAACAAGTTATATTTAATATTTTCAGAACATCTCATAAAACTCATGCTAATTAATAAAACAGTGATGTCAATTTAGGTCTTTGAAAATTGCGAGTTAATTTTCTTTACACATTTTTTGTCATCTTATTTCACTAAATTGACCATTGGAAAAAGTTAACATAGCGTTATTTATACTCTTTTACCAAGACATTTCTTACTCTCTTAAAATGTATCAAAAGATGATTTTGCTGTGTTGTAATTTTCCTCATCGTTATGACTGCTGATAATAATTACGGTAATGAAAATATTGCTAAACCAAAGAAGATAAAGTATCTACAGCCACATTACCTTCACAGCAGACAGTTCTGCAGCACTAGCAGGAAAATAATTGAGAATTTTGTTTTCCTTTCTGTATGCAACTCCTATTTTAATCTCAGGCAGTGTATCCAGAATGTCAAGCTTGGTCAAACATAATCTGCAAATCCAAATCAGATTTGTTACCCACAGCATCTCTGCACTGGCTCTTACCTTATGCAACACAGGAGAGTTGATCAGCTAGGGACTATAAACTAGGTCTTGCCTTAAAAAAAAAAAAATTATTTAACTTCAGCAAATGCCAAATATTACAAATAAATGGAAAAATAGGAGTCCAAAAATCATTTTAAAGTTGCATTAAATTATTATATTTATTTAAGAAGTCCAGAACAATTCATATGCAGTTGAACATGGTTCAGTGGGATTATCGAAGGAACGGAAGTTTTATTCTCTTAGAGGCATCTCATTCATTTAAGTTCAAAAAGGATTTGTGTCACTTTGGCAGATCACATTTGTTCCAGCACAAACATACAAAACAATGCAATATTTAACAAGAAACTATTAGCGAGCAGCACATTATGAATACCATTTTACTCCGTGTAAACTGCAAGTAAAAAATTTAATTGAGGGTTCATACTGACACATTAATATCTTTACAAAAGTCCTGCCTTAAACTTATCTTTTTTCTGCATTCGTTTAATTTTGTAAAATTCTGTTGTGTCCTTATCACAACAATGACTCTTGCCATCTTTTAGGCATCAAGCATGTAATCCTCAATTAAATTTTGTCTCAAGTCTTCTAGTCTCAGATAGTCATTGCTTTTTATCCCTTCAGCCAGGGGCTCAACGACATCAGTAATCAACAGTATTACATTTGTTAAGTAATTATTTTAAAATTTTACATTAATTTCATAAATTACATTTTAAAAATATAGGTAAATGATCACAATAAACATTTAATTAATTTAAACTATGACAGGAATTAAAATTCAATTACATTACCTGCAGTAATTATTCAAGTATTTTCTTTGATAAATTACATGATTAATAAAACATTAAGTGCTTACAATAAACGTTAAAGTTATTTTTCATTAGACTACACTAAAGGCTCATTTTAAAATAAAAAACCCTAACAATTCATTACATTAATAAACTCGCAATTATGATGTTTCCAATATCATGAAATATAAGTACATGATTTACTACCTTACTAATAGTACTAAGCCTTATTGAACAGAATGACTGGGACAATGAGTGGTCATTCTTGGAGCAGTGCTTGGTTAATAATTAAAGAAAAGTTAAAGCAATTCAGATATTTTAAATGGACACTAATTAATAAGATGACATTTAAGCAAATGTTTTGAAGTATTTATTATCAGCTGTTTTTATGGAAACTTGGAAATTATTAAATAGCTGTGCACCAATGCTGAATGGATCTTGGTTAGCAGACGACTTGGTAGTGTATATCCTGTGATACTCTGTGTATTCTCCAGTATGACAATTGTGCACCTCACAAGATTCTGATCATTCCTCAATAGTAGAAATACTTTTTAAGAATAGAGTGCTACAATGTTTAGTAATTCATATTTCTTAAAGAAATCTTTACAGGACTGTCTCGGTTTTAGTTTGACAATGCTTCTGATACTTTTCTTTGGTAGGACCATTAATCTATCTATATTTTTTTGTGTTGTTCCTCCCATTATTTCAAAACCATATTGAAGTTGTAAGAAGAATATGTCATAATAGATTGAAAGAAGCTGAATTGTTTTTAGGTATCTGAAATGTATCTCAAAAGGTTATTGGAGTTTATTTTACCACAAAGTGTGTCAATGTGTTTGTTATAAGTTACCATATTTGCTCGTGTACAAGTCGCACTTTCTTCTGAAAAGTAAATTGTGCAATGGGGCTGTAGACTATACGAGGTTTATAAAAAATTCAAGAAAACAAGTAGGTCTTGAAAATATAACTTTTCATAGATTGCCAAATACTGAAGTTAGTATTATAGGTCGGTCCTAAAATATTGTGTCTAATTTTTTATGTATTCTGGAAAAGTGAATACAGATAGAGATGAATTTATTAGTCAACTAATCAATATGTTAAGAACAGGCAAACACTTTTTAAAAATGCTTGAAGATATTTCATCATTCCCACATGTGCAACTAATTTTAAAGGAATTTATCAATTGATTAACTTTAGTAGCATTTGTGTAATGTTACATATCCGGGAATCCATGTCCTCTTGAATTGCTAAACTTCTGTAACTTAACTATACTACGTTAAGCAATTCAGCTAATAACACTTGCTATATATTCACACATATATAGAACCTATATTGTATCTTAGCAGCTTTAGCATAAACAATATTATTTAATTAGTTTTATTAAATCTACTTTTTTTTTACTTACGCACTGTATCCATTGACCATGGCTGTGTATTGCAGTAATCGTGCATCTAGCCAACCACATCTTCGTTTTCGTTTGGTTGTGACACCAATTTCACCACCTCTGCTTTGCAACAGATCTCCAATGCTCTATAAAATTTAAAAGGCAATTAGAATATGTCATTGTAGGCTTGATCAATGCACTAAAGGCAGAATCAATTTTGATGGACAGTATTTCCTTTCCCCAAAACTTATTCAACATATGATTTTTTTAAACAATTTTGTATGCACTTTTGCAATAAATGTTTTTACTTTCAAGAAGCAATAACAGATTTTGTGTAGCAGTAAACATAAACACACAATAACATAGTAACTGGAAATACTGTTAAAATGACGCTGTTGTCTCAAAAAGGCTTAGTAAATAACTCGGGTAAAAGACATATTGAGAACATATGCTGCACAACATCATGTAAGAGTCATTATTGTCAGTACCTCACATCGAGATTCAAACATTCCTATTTATATTATTTTTTAAAAAGAAATTACAAATTTCAATGGCATCAGACAGAAAGGATATGTGTAAAAGCACACACTGTAATGGAGTTCCCGGAATTAGAAGTTAAAGCATTATGACATTTCAAAAAGTAAAACATCATGAACCTATTTGATCCACAAATTATGAGAGCAGTACTTCTTCATGGAAAATATATGCAATTTTACGTTTGTATATTAATGCTTATATTTTCAATAAGCTAAAAGATGTTTTATGTAACATATTTGAGACTTCATCACTGAAGGAAATAAAATGTTTAGATTATCCAGAAATTTCTCCTAATCAACCGAGTAGGAAGCGTTTTACTTTTCATTTTTCATTATGAGAGACAAATTTGGTCAACTAAGACACATGTGATTTAAAAAGATGGTGAGCTATCAAATACAGGAAGATTCAAGATTCAAAGTACTATCTAGTGATGTGATCAAGTACCACAAACAAACTGACAAAACGCACTGGCATCATTTGTGCAGTTCTTGTTTTCCAAGTTCATGAAATGTGAATAGGACTACTGCATATGTTCTCTCGTGTAGTCCTGGTTTTATCTTCTCCCTTCCCTAATTTAACCACATACATATTTTCTTTTATTTATGGATTTTTTTCAATGAAAAGCAGGGTCTGCAAGTAAATCCACCTGGAAAAATACACCCCAAAACAGTAATAGATAATTCACAACAAATCATTCTTAAAATATGCTCAACTTCACGTACAGTTGTGTTTAAAAAAATACTTTTAATAGAGTTTCATAAAATAATTTTGTAAAACATGTACTACGTGTTTGCCTTCACTTTTAATATGTTTGTATTAATGCAGTGTTTTGCAATGGGAGTATTTCTATTTAAACATAGTGTGTGACTTACGTGAAGCTTAGTGTAGTTTAACTTCATGCCCTTTAATATTACCATATAAACAGTAGATCTGGTTTAACTCTCACCAATTTTTTCACACTTATGATATTTTGGATTGTATAACTATATTTTACCAGATGGTAGCATCCTCCCCCCGTTTTTTTAAAAATTAAATAGTAGTAAACAAAAATATGTTTTGAGTTCGGTGCACAATGTCTCCTGCTCAGTACAGTATACCATATTTCAGTCATAAACAAAACGTGATGGATTGTGTCAAGTAGACACACACATGGATTTCATTATGAAAACATTATGCTTTATATTGTGTAAAGCATGTATTTAAAATTGCCACTGAATACTTGTTTTACTGTTTCATGTTTTTTTATCATTGTGTAATTATTTTAGATGTAAACTCTTTCATTCCACTTATTCTTCTGAAGATGGGTATATATTTGAGTTATTCATACCTACATTTTGGGACAAAGAATAATTTAATATTTGCTTTCCTCGAATTCTCATAGGCTATGAGAGTTTGTTAAATGACTCCAAGAAAACTAGAAATATTGTTCAAATCCAATTTTCAATTAAAACCAATCAATCCACAATTGCACATAGAATTTTCTAGCCCTGATTCATCATTCTTAATACACCTGAAATAACCAAATAATTTTTTTAAAAAGAAAATATTGATCATGATCTAATAATGTTTATATAAATTAATCAGAAATAAAGGGTTTTAATGTTTGAGAAAAGAAACAAGGTGGAATCAGGAGGAAGAAAACAAAGAAACGGGTAGAAACATAAATGGAAAGAACCAGAATACAGGTAAAAATGCAGACAGAAGGGAGAAAGAAGAGAAATGGTAATGGAAAGGAATGGAAGGATTTAGCAACACTCGCTGCAATTCCTTCATGAACATATAAATACCTTTACCAAGTAATAATTTATAAAGCCATTACCTAAATGAGAAGATTTTGCATTTAACACTTACTTTCAGATGATTTAGATTGAATTTAATAAGGAAATTGTCACATGACGGATACTAACATCTTTCAACTCTGTTGGAAACGGGCCGTCTCCGACTCGTGTCGTGTATGCCTTAACAACTCCAATCACCTCCCCAATGTTGCACGGCGGGAGGCCAAGGCCCGTGCACACACCACCAATGCTACAATTTGATGACGTTACATACGGATAAGTACCTACACAGGAGAAAAGAGAATGCTCTACAACTTCATTCAGTTAAAACAAGTTGCTATTTCACTCCAATATTTCTAAAAGCGGTTAACAAGTCTTGCCTTACAGGTCCATTATGTTCCAGTTATGTAACAACGACTTTCAAAAAAATGTCGATCTCTTTTGTAATTTCAATGCAAACGAGAAGAAACATTAATCGCCCTAATATAAATAAATTGTTTCAATATTACCAAAGGTTTAATATTTTGAAATACAAATTCACACAGCATTACATTCATACATTTGAAACAATGAAACATATATACATTAATAATACTAGTTTGACCAGAAAACTGCACTGCAAGAAGGGACTTTTTTTGCATCATGAACTGTCCACAGGGTGGAACAATGCAATAAAGAGTCTCATGGTTATTATTTATTATTCACCAACACATTTACCCTCAGACAATCCTGGGAGGGGGGCAACTTTCTATTCAAACTAACACAGTTCCATGATGAAATTATTAAAAAACCAAGCTCAGAGAGAAATGATTGTGTTGTGAAGTCGTCGTGTTTGTGAAGGTGTTCTTTGGTCTTAACTCTATACTTAGTTTGTTCCTAAGTAAGCCTTTGTTACTTTTTGACTATCTTCATTCTTTAGTGAAGAATGAATCATCAGTAAACATTCTCTCATTATTTTGTCAAGAGAACAAATTGCTAAAATTAGAGTTACAATTTGATTCAAGATCGATGAGATCTATCTGAAGGATATCTAAGAAGGTATGACCAAACAAGTATCAAAACAATATTTCTCCATTAAATCATAAATCTAACATGAATAATAACTAAAAGTTAGTGTTGAATATTTTCATTTTTTAAACAATTAAATCCAGAATAGGTGTAATAAGGCTATCAATAATTAATATATATTTAATTTTCCACAGATTTTGCGTAGGAAAAACTTTCTTTTTGAAACGGTGAGATACATTTTGGCAAAGAATAGACAAGAAACAAACATTCATAGTAATATTTTTAGAAGTTCTATTCTCAGAAGCTGAGAAGTCAATAAATGAGAATAAAAATTATTTTAGAAAGAAATGGTCAAGGCTTATAAACTTAGTTTAAAAAAAATTCGTTATTGTTTTCCGTCCACTCTTGCTGAGATGTCTTTAACATGTTAACTGCCCATAGCTGCTTTGTAGCTTTGATGCAGGCACCCATTACAAAATTATTCACATCTCAAATTCAGCTCCATAAGTGCCCCACCTAGTAAAAACTACAAGAAACCTTGTAAAATGTACGTCAAATGTACATTTAAAATTCCCATTTCCCTTTCAAACAAGATATAGGGACACAAATTATTAGTAATAACATAGGTACATCTTCCATAACATTAATATCTGATGAAGTACAATAAATAAATAAATAAATTAAAAAAAATAATAATAATAATAAAAAAAAAAGAATGAATGAAACTTTTTTAAAATCTATTTTACCTTAATATTTTTCAATAATTTCTGTACATATTACACCGGTCTCACTTCATGTATTAAACAAAAATTACACTTCATGATATTCAAAAATTAAGTTTAAAATGTTTATTTTGAATAAAAATATTATGTAAGTTAGAAGATATCAACCATCTTGTGAGTCAGCAGCTTCAATTATGTAACAATTAGTGTATCAGAATGTTAAACCTACAGATTATAATTGTTTATTTTTATTTTAAGGGTGACGAAATCCTTCCTACACTTTCTTTTGGGTCAAAGAAGGCTGGTTGTCCATTGTCGTAGATTTACAATGTGCAAAAGAGCCCCCCTCAACCTAAGAGACATCTCAGCAAAAATCAATCTCTCAACACTCGAGTGATACCTTCGTTCACAACACGGCAATATACCTGCCCTTTTATCATTTTGTTGCTAATACTGGAAAATCGCTGTAACAAAATTCAACAACAGAGAAAAGTGTTGAAAGGTTAAAGTAAATTCATCAGTTAGATATGTCAAAAGAAATATCTTGTAGATAGTAGTCAAAGTGGTAATTATATTGAAAAACATGTTTTAAATAATTGCTCGGCAATCTTTGACAAATTCCTAACATAACCTAAAAATATTTTCATCTGGAAAATCAATTTTTCTGAAGCAATTATCTCCAAATATCACACAGGGCAAACAATGTTTTTATTCTTTTTTGAGGTACCAAGAAGGTTTAAAGGAATTTAGATCCTTCACTCTGGATCTCCTATATTGTTAACCCCACTAGGAATAATACAGTACTCTGAAAAGGAGAGGAATAAATTCATGATTTTATTTCTCATACTCCAATGGATTTACAAAAATATGATACAGTTTGGATTTAATTTTTCAATATTCACATTATTGAGGTAATGATAAACTAAAAAAGGAAATTTAAATGTTAATAAAACAAACTATTGTCCAGACTAAGTTCAATTTCCCTCCCTTTGATATTCCTGCAGCAAGAAAGTAAGGTACATGAACTTCATTGTGATACATAAAAATTCATATTTCAATTCATATCATAGGGTAAATGAAAAATGTTTGAAAATAACTCATTAGGGATTCAAAAGGATGGATTAATTCTGAGCAAACAAAATGTCTTATATATCAGTACCAGTGTCCAAAATTTCATGCATATACAAATATTATATATCCATATCAATACACATTATTAGCTATAGAAAACAATCCTCCTAATTGCAACATAAAAATTAATAAAAATGCCCACAATCTTTTAACTGCCATGCCACAATCTAATAAACACAAAGAAAGAACTGTAAATAGGAATACATACCGAAATCAATATCCAACATGGCAGCGTTTGCGCCCTCTACCAGCACCTTCTTGCCCAAGCGCAGCGCAGAGTGGAGGAAAGAGACAGATTCCACCACAAACGGACGGACCTTCCCCGAGAACTCCTTGTAGCGCTTCAGCTCTCCTTCCACATCCACATTCAGCTCTGGGAACATGCGTTGGTACATGGCCACCAGCCCTTTGAATCTGCAAACAGAGCAATCGATGTAGCACATCACTGGGCACGGAAACAGCTATGGCAGTTAGTACCGCTAATGCAGTGTATGTTTTATTCCAGAATGCAGCAGCATTTCCACATGTCAGCTGCTTTGGGAGGGGGTCTCCCCCTCCCGATATCTCCACTAGTGGGTAACCGCTCTGGCCAAGGCGAGCTTCAAGTTACAAACTGGTCTCTTGACATGTATGAATGCAAGCAATTGTAACAAAGCGGAGAGGATAGGTCAACGAAGGAAAGTTTCTGCACAGTCCATGGCAAGTTTGTTAGGGTACTGCTCTGCCAATCACCTACCTCTATAGCTAGTGCTGCCACTGTCGGGGCTCGATCCCTAGGATTTCCTGGTTCAGTTGCTGCAGAGACATGCTGGCTCTGAGCTAATTTCACTGGTGCAAACAGATCAACATTTCAAGTCTTCTACACTAACAAATACTCATTCACCAACATTTTAAATAATGCTGAAACTATGATGTAGCACCTGTCTTGTGAAAACTCATAATTACATCTTCTTGTTATATTTATAAATTTGTTAAAGATAAGTTACTAAAATATGTCAGGAAGTATGTAAATGAAGAAGATGGCATGTTCAATTATAGTGCTTTCATAAATGAATACATGTATTCTTTTATGTCACTCTGCCTTTTATTGAAGTTTAGAAGCTCCAAAAACAGATCTAATCAGCAAATGTTTTTAGTAGAGAAAACAAAAAGTTATATAAGACAAAAATGCATATACTTATATGCCAAACGAAAGGCTTCATCTTAAGCTTTAGCAGAAATTTTGTTGTTTTAATTATTTTAAACGAAAATAATCATGTGTTCATGGAAAACCAATTTAGCCACATTTCTGCTAAACATTCTGATTTAATCAACATTGAAGCTTATTCACATTAACATACAATTTACAAACTTAAAACTACAAAAATACAAAATAAAAAATTAAGAAGAGTATTCTATATCTCCTTATTGCACAGATGAATTTGCAGTTTTATTTCCTAATGCTACTAATGAAGGAGACTGGAAAATATTACTATATATTCAATATTAGATTATGCAGAACAGTGAGTTATACTTGCTTACTTTGCAGAGTGATTAATTTGTGTTTCAGATGTCAATGAATTAGTTTCGTGAAGGTTCTGAAATATTCTTACAATGAGAACTGCAGCTCAAAATTAGATGTGAATAAAGTTTATGAATGGGAAGAAACAATTCGCGACATGAAAACCAAGAGTACAAACACAGTATTGAATGGTATTGTACAATAATATTTAAGTGCAAGAAGCTTCTGACATTATGTATATTCACTTTAATTAAAAATGTGTTAACAATAATGGATACTAACTTTATTAGAAATAGCAAAATTAGACAAGATACCAGCTCCTGGTACTGAATTCTTGAAAAAGTCTGAAGGGCTACTAAATAAAAAATAAATAAATATAAAAGTAAAATTATAATAGTAGGAGACAACACTTAAACCACCAATATGCCATTTTTGTCCTACTCCATTTTTCATTAGCTAATATCTATTAGACATTTAACTGGAGAACACGGTGCGTTGCTGACTTTTCTCATTTTACAGATGTAGTGTCTAGAAAAAGATTCAACCCAGAGGGTTTTTTTTAGTGTCATAAGAAAAACATGTTCTACCAAGAACTGCCATCGAGCCATTTTTGTCACATTGTGAATGTGCTGCTTCTTTTGTCCATATGGATAATCAGTGAGTAAATTCCCGTCTCAATCAGTTCTGAATGCTTCCTTGACTTCACTTTGGTAAGACATCAGAGATAATTGCATCTCTTGTGTCAATAACCTTGATTTCCGTTTCTTTTATATTGTAACGGTTTTCAGCAATCCCCCCGTTTCAGTTTCTTGACACAGGCATCTTACAAAACCGACCGATCAAACCACGCTGTCATTCATTTTAGCGAAACGCTGCAAGTATATTGTAAGATCAAGACATCACGTTTCAGTTACAAGAGATAACTGAAGATTCGGAAGGGTCTGACTGGGCAGCTGACAAAGAGCCTCAAGTGATGAAAGAATGGAAGAGGAATCAAATTTCATCACATTGAATACAGAATAGAAATATGGGGAGCAACCAGTATAGGGAACATGAACAGAGTTATGATAATACGGAAATGAGCTCTTAGATACCAATCTTGTAAACTTTTTTATAAAAAATACAAAATAATGACTGTTGTAACTTACGCATATAGAGTAATTATGCTCATGAAAAACAATAACTCACCTTATTCAAAACAAATATGTATATCAATACAATACAAGAGGAAAGGAAATCTATCACAGAATGTACTCTGCAAAATCCTCCTCAAAGAAGGATTCGTATCAAAATACTGCACTACTCTTCAATAAACTACATTTACCTACTAAAGAGTGAAGCAAAAATAGATTCAAAAAGGCACTAAAAAATTACTTATTTGAAACTTGCCCGGGTATTAGGTAGAGAGGGCAATGTTACAAAATTTATATATTCTTTACTACAGGATAAGTTATATTATTTACTTAGGATAAGCAATTTAGGTTTAGACTGACATCTATTAACTATATAAAATGCAAATATTTGTGAATACTGCAAGTGCATTAAAAAAAGGAAGGAAACTGTTAGAGAAAGCAGATTTACTTATGTACGACGAGGCTTCAAGACCTATAATATCGAGTTAATATGAGTAAATGAATTATTATATTATTATTATTATTATTATTATTATTATTATTATTATTATTATTATTATTATCATCATTATTATTATTATCATCATCATCCACTTTCACTAAATAACATAACATCCATGGCTGTCTCTAGCATTAAAAGAATCAAGCTTGATAGCTGAAAATTGAGTACAGTGACTTGATTGATTGATTTGAAGTTCAAGGTCTCTAACAGCTGAGGGAATTGAGGCACATGAGGAATGTAATTAAGAGAGCTCCCTCTACCCTTTGTCCCCACAAACTGAAGAAAGGTACACCAGCCTTTACACTCTTAGCTCTTGCTAGGATGTTTTTCTGATAATTTTCAAAAACTGTCAGGTCAATGAAGTCATTGTCATTCATGTAATAGATACAAAATGAAGGATTGATATCCCTTGGGTGGCTCATGAACAGCATGTTAGCTTTCTGTGAGGCAGTCCCAGGTTTGATTCTAGACAGGGAAAAAACAAAGCTGTAGTTTTGTAATACAAATCAACCCAGTTTCTACTGCTGTGTGATGAAAGAAAAGGTTTAGGTACAGGCCAAGTAAGCTATGTATAATGATGAAAATATGTCATGTTTTCCACATGTCTTCCTTACCCCAAGGCATAGATAATAATTAAAAACTGGGCCCAGGTCTGAGAACACTGCTAAGTGGCAAAACGTCAGATTAATCCTATGGCATGTTCAAAATTTAGTTTGGAGTACACAGCCTTTGCCACAAAAGAAACATACCCCAAACTGTTGATTTGCTTTGTTCATCACAAAAGACAACTTGGAATCAAAAACAACACCTAAATCTTGAATATCAGTTACTTTCTCTAACAAAGTTGAGTTAATTGAGTACATAAGAAAGGAACTTTAAAATGTGGGAAGTGATATCTTTACTTTTGCCAGGGTTTAAAATGAGATGGTGTTCAGACCATTTAACTAAACTACTGAGAGCGAATTGTAATGAGAGTAAATCAGCATACCGTTAAATTTTTCTACAAATTTTGCAATCATAGCATAAAGCAAGTTGTCTTTCAAACACATTATAAGGGACTACACTAATATACACACAAAAGATGCTTATAAAGTGTCTATGCTAAACGAAAGGCTTCATCATGTCATTAGCCTAATGATGGAGACAATTGACCTCCAAAGCGCCACCAATAATGATTGTTTTGTGAAGTAATATAAAGAACGATGTAGATGCAATAAACTGACTGTCTATAAACAACATATGTAACTTGTGGTATAACTTTGTTATCTTTTTTAATTTGTTTAATATACTATGTTTTTTGTCATATAGCATTAGTAAAATTTAACTAGAGTTTAATAATTATCACTTGGACTTCCCCTTTAGAGTGTTTTCCTACATACAGCGTTCAGAATACATGGTCCCTTAAAAGAAGTTATAAACCCATTAATAATAGCAAGTACTTAAACATAAAAGGCCTGTTAATAACATCCATCAATAAAAGCAAGTAATTAAACATATAGAGCCCATTAATTTTCATTTAAAGCAAAAGTCACAAGGTTCACTGACAGGAAAGCTCAAACTTCTTTTCAAATGAAATTTCATTGTGTATTAAATATATGCATTTTTACCATTTTCTAGATATCAGAGGCTTTAATGAAAATCAGAACTGTAGCCTACTAATAAAAGCACTTTCTTCTATAAAAAGCAAACAATTTTCAGGCATTTTCCAGAAAACGTTGAAAATGGGGATTCATGAAAAGCACACCCCTCCCCCACCCAATATTTTGATGATCTCTGCAACGACAAAAATAGATCTTACTCCTAATGTATTTACCAAGTTACAACTCAAAAGCATTTAATCTAACAGAGTTATGCTTGGCACATCCATCCATCTGTGCAAATCTATTTTCAGGATCAAAAATGCATCCAGCTCCTTTACACTTGCACCTTGGACAGTACTAATAGACCTCAATCCTGTTATGCATGTGAGATTACAGCTGAAAAGAACCTTAAACACGGATTTTGTCACAAGGCACTGTAAACTCCTAAATTACTAGATACTAGATACCTACTTTTCAGAAAACAAATTGAAATCACCAAGAAGGTCAGCTATCCGAATGCCATTCCTTGTAGCTTTTGATGAATATGTGGGACCAATTCCTTTCTTCGTTGTGCCTAATGACTGTTCACCTTTCTCTCTTTCTTGAAGGCCATCCACTTGCTGAAAATCAAAACAAATAAATTTAAAAAATAAATGAAGAAACAGACTAAGTGGTGTGTAATGAATTAAACTTGGTGGATATAGTTTGAATTCTTATAACCCAAATACTTCAATTTTGCTATGAAAAACAAATACCCCATAAGCACAATAAATAAAAACTCTACAGGCAATACTCAAGATATATTAAGAAAAAATTTAAGAATTATGTCAACCCACAACATTCCAAATTAGGTCATAAATAATAAGATATTCAGGATTCATGGTCTAACTCCTTCAATTTAAACTCCAAAACAGAATCTGTAATGAGACTGATTCCTACCATATTATTAATCTCAAATTAATATCAAAATGAGGAAGTCGTATAAAGTAAATATTTTTATTGATTTCAATTTTAATTGTTCCATTACGAGACAGACAATTTTACATAAGATTCATAAGACCAAAGTACCACAGTGCAACATGAATAATCTTCATGTATGTAGGTAAAGAACATTCCTTGTGCTTGCTGAGTTGATTCAATGTTTGACAGAAAAAAAAACCCTCTTACCATCGAATTTGTGAAGTCTCTTCACTCTTGTAACAATGGAGACAAATCCATAATTTCCATAAATAAACAGAATTATTTGCTATTGAAAAACCACCTCCTGTATTTAAGCAAAACTGAAGATGAAAGACATATGACTTATATGCCAGATACCCACGTGCAGGGTTTAAAAGTACGGAGGAAGATGTTAAGATTTCAACAGCATAGTCGACAAACTCACTTCAGATGTAGCCATTTGGAACATAAATAAATAACCTGTAATATCACTTAAAATAGAATTGGTAACATCAAGAAGAACGAACAGAAATTGTTGAAGGAAATCAAAAATCACCTCGATAAGTCTCAACAAAATGACAAAATGAGAAATGAACAGATAATCAGGGAAATTGAAGAAAGAAAAACTTGGAGCTGGAATCTAATTCTGTATGGTGTGAAAGAATACACAGAGATGGACAGACAGACAGACATTTTGCTGCAAACCAATTTTTTGGAATCACGGATACAAAACATGGGATACTGGCTACACAGCGTGTTAGAGGAAGTAATTCATTACACACAGGAACAAGATTTATCAATTTTTTCATTACTAGGGCCTGGCAATAAGAGTTTTTCTGTTGAAAAATCACAGATTATTCCAGCACCAATAAAACATTTTCCATGTTGCTTAAGCCCAATGAGAGAAAATAAAAAAAATAAGATTTCAAAGAAAAGATAATCTACAATTGTTTGAAAAAACTAGTAGTTTTGCATAATTTTTGATTGACATTAATGCCATTTACAAAAATCCCCCCCCCCCCATTCTTTCATGGATAGAGCAAAGGATGCTTAAAACAATAGTGCAGGGCTTATTTTCGTTAAACAACCGGCAGTTTCGAAATTCAGTTAAATTTCCCAGAAATCGGTGCCTCTGGAGTACCTATAGAAAGATTACTCCTTAAACTTTACACCATTGGAATTAGAGGAAAGTTATAATCGTGGATATGGCGTTACCTTCACCAGCAAGGTTTCATGGTTAAAATCAGCCTCTCAACACCTCACTCAGGTGTAAGTGAAATTTCACGAAGATCAGTTTTTGGAGCAATCCTCTTCATTTTTAAACCTGTGATTTGGGAGACATCAGCATGGAACTGTTTTTCTGATAAGCAAACCTTTGTTGACCTACCCAAAGATTTTGACACTCTCCATCATGACCTACTTTAAATAAATGAATGGTCAAGGCTGTGCAATGACCTATTAATCATGACAAGTGCAGTTCTTCACCTGAGCACCAAATCAATAGTACCATTGGGAATATATTTTAGACCGTTACTAGTGAAAATGACCTGGGGTGTTGATTCCACAAAATCTGAAAGAGGACGGTCCCACAGTTGCCATGACTACCCGAGCCAACAGCCTTCTCATGAAAATTTGATGTAGTATGTGAATTGGGGTACATTATTGCATTTGTGAGTAGAAATGCTTCAAATGATTTGCAATAAAGTTTCTTGCAAACTCAAAAGTTTTCTGTGAAAAAGAGCTCCAAATTTTTCAACCAAACTTTCCCCAAGATACCATTTGTTGTGGGGTACGACATGATTAATGTACATTACTATACAAGCACAAATGTTTTTAACAAAACAGCAGTGACTACAATTTGTTCTTCCAAAATATAGTATACTGTATTGTTCAATCTACAACGTGATTAATTTCATTATCTAAACATTTCTCTCCCTGTATAAAAATATATATATTTGCGGACATATTCTCGCGACCACCTTGCGTTCACAGCGAATTTCCCGAACGATTAAGACCAATATTTCTGAATGGGCCGAAAAGGCGGGAAATCAAACGAATGGCATTGCATTAAGTAAAATGCGATGTAAAAACGAATAAAAATCGTTGCCGAGATTTTGTTGCACGATCGACGAGGACACGCGGACTCTCAGACGCCCGGAGAGTGCGAATTGGCGTTTTGCAAAAGATGATATATACCCAGCGACGATATTCCCTCGGCCACAAGGCGAATGCTCGGATGGTTGCAAAATCCCACGAATCCCTCCCACTAGACCACCTAACACCTACTAACATCATAGTCCTTTCACCCTTAATAATAATAGTAATATTATCATCCTACCCCCCCCCCATTGATATTCACGGCTAACAATCTTGTCTTAACCAAGGCTGATCCCCATTATTCCACACAATCTCTCCAGGACAGAATACAACTGGGCCTCGGAGAGAGAAATGTGTTGCGTGGTCAGTAGTTGCCCGCCCCCATTCGCGAATTATGCGCGGAAAGGAAGAAAATCTGCTAACGCAGAAGAGGATGTTCTTAGGTAGCGTCAAATGGAAGACGAATGCAAATTCAGCTTGAGCAGATCCATGGTTCAGGCCAACTCGGCCGAAGGCAGGGCCATGAATCTGCTTTATTCAAAAATGTTGATATCCATTGGCCATGGAGATTACAATTTGCGATGGGGATTTGAGGGGACCTATGAAATTGGGGGTCGCAAAAGGGCAGAGACAAAAACCATGTTTATGATGATTTTAAGGAAAAAGAAAATGATGATAACTCAAGCATTACGATTTATCATTCATTCATTCGTCCACCCATTCATTCATTCATCCCTCAATGACGATTGTCTAGTCAATTTGAAATTTTATTTTGACTAAATTGTAAGTTGTAAGAATTAGTTACAAATACTCAGGAGTCCTCTTCAAAATTAGAGGGCCGTCTTATATTCGGGTAAATCCCGGACCTGAGCATCAATTTGACAAGCATTTACCGGTCAGCAAACAAACTCACCTGATGAAAGTCAAATACCAAATGTGCTCTGTCCGAGATGAGCAACCTGTCCTCCCAACTCGTCAGGCCCTTCTTCTCGTTCTTCTCGAGCTCTTCGAAGAGCCCGGGAAGATGCACCACCACGCCATTGCCTGTAACATTCACATTCACATGGAGACCACTCTCAGAAACTACGTCTCAACAGGGCTGGGAAAAAGGACCTGCGCGTAATGGCGAATATTATCTTTTAACTTTAGTACATGTAAAATACGTAATTTTATCATCCCATCCGTGAAATTGAAATACTTTCAATACTGACGCGCGCGCGTATGTGAGTATTGTAGTGCGTGTATATCGTACAAGGACTTCCAAATCGGAGCATTTCGAGCGGGAGAAATACGTTTTCGTAATTTAATTGGAATGAAATGTAAGAAAAAGTAAAATAACAAAAACATGTTCCAAACAATACTGTAGTATCGAAACATACTTATTAACAATGATGTCAAATCACTTTTCCATGACATTTAAAATTAAAATTTTTCTACCTCAGATTTCTACAAATTTAAGTTCTTGACAAAATTTTATTCGCATTGATATTATATATTTCGTAATGATACAATGTATTAGGCTTTATTAAAAAAAAATTCAATTGCTTAGCGAAAAAAAAGTTGTTTTCAATGCAAGAACATCGACACAAAAAAAACAATTTTAAAAATTTGTTTAGTAGTGCCACAAACCTCATAAACTCCCCATTTTCGGCCTTTTTTCGCTCTTTAGATGATATCAAATATTATTTAGTGATATTTTCATCAACGGATTTTTGATTGAGCAGGTGCCCACGTTATTTCGCAACAATTTATGATCAAACATTATTTATTTTACTCGCACAATGAGCTGCATTAGTCCCAACATGACCAATTTTACATTAAAACCATAGAAATAAACACTAATCAAATGGCCATAGCACCGTACTTTTTTTATCAAAAATATTTTTCATGTAGATACGATTCAAGCTTGAAATCTCTACTTTAAGAACCTCGCTTCGAGCAATTTAACTATTTCCCTGCAATCTTAAAATTGCGCGGGGCGCCATCACGTGTAAGCCGCACTGCGGTGTCTGATTTCTTTATTCCCTGTTAGGCTTCATTGAGCACATTTGTATTTGTGGAGACATCAAACGGGCTTGGCAGTTACTAGACTTTAAACAATACTTACGTGGCATTTGGAAGCCCATGAACATTTCCCCCCCTCTTTCTTTCGGTAAACAGGGTATGACATGGCGTCCGACGGCCTGCCCCGCGCACCGCCTGGGGCCCGCGTCGCTGAAGGAGCATTTATTAATGCATTTTGAAAAGCCACCCTTTCCTTTTTTTTTCAGATTTCTTCAGCATTTCAAACCTTGAGTTAATGATATTTATTAACATTCTCATGCGCAAGCACCGCGCACCCGGTAAAGTCAGCAGCACACGCCAATCGTTTTATATTCGTCTTCGTGGTTGCTTCAGTTTGTATGAAATACCCGTATTTATTACTTTTAGGTTACAAACTTAATTAGTGCCATGTTTAAAATTGTATTAAATTGTGTATATGAAGAACAATTATTCTAATCACTTCAGTTCTAGCGTACATGCGTAGAAACTACAAATATTATGGTAAGTACTGTACATAATATTTCTGACTGGGAATTCTCATTTGTATTAACTGGGATTGCCCTCGGTTGCCCATGGGAGATGTAAGATAGAAAGTTGCAGTTCTAGTGACTGGTAAAGATTTTGAACATTTGCTTGGAGTTTCTGTAACCCAGAAAAGAAATGGTGAGCCGATGACTGAACTGTATTCGAGAACTGGATCGATTTGGGCTAGGTGACATGTTCTGGGAGGACCTAAGGTTCAACTCAGCCTTTTTTCAAACGAGTACCCGCATTATTGACTTTACAAACAGTAAATATTGGGTAAAAATTGTTCCTTTTGAAGCAAGACACTTGTCACGCCACCTTCACCCCACTTCGGAAGTCATGATGTACTGTATTTGAACTGTGTTTAATAGGTATTTTTAATACCTTTAGTGTTCGGTGGTAGAATCCCTAACATCTAACCCTACGCAGGTTAAACTTGCGCTACTAAAAATATAAAAACAGAAGACGAAATCAATGTGAGACATGTTTAGCAATGGTTTTCAGATAGCGACGATGAATTTCTGACTAAAATGTATTTATTACCACGAAAAATAAGTTTTGTTCCAAGACATATCTACTTATCGAATACGATATGACACGGCACAATCACAGTTGACAGATTTATACAACTGATAGCTGATTAATCACATTGTGAAGTGTCTCTTGTAGATAGGATACATATAATATGCTTTTATTAAACTTATTTCATAATTACAAACTGAATGAAACTATATATTCATGAAAACAAAAACATTCTCCCCCGCTTATTTCATAATTGTAAAAATTCATTAAATAAGACGGAGATTTATTTATTCTAAAGCTGCTTTTAGACAAAGACACACGAGGATACGAAGATGTTGAATAATCTCGAAGAGAGACAATCTCGTTCGGTTGTTTGTCCGGTTACGAATTTTTTCTTTCACGGAAGAACAGTATCTTCACTCGAGGAGGATGTCTCCGACAGTCGGGCCAGTGCCATCGTCACAAAAAAGTGCTGTTATCTCAGACGCACCAAAGTCGCCATCACAAGAAACCGTTTCACTTGTAATTTCCAGTACCATGCCACTTAGTAATGGGAATTAATTGTCCAACATGAGTTATGTACTTTTTTTTAAAACACAAGTGGCTTTTTCATAATTTGTGCTCGATCTTAATGTAATTTATTAACTAGTGGTGGGACAGAACAGCACAGACTTTCTCGTACTAGTTTTCTAGTTTTTTTTATTCGGGTTAGATTTTACAACTTGCTCCATCCTCTTACCATCTATTGCCGTCGAAAGTGTTTTTTTTAATGTAATTAGTTTTTCGGTTTCCTAATGGCAGAACCAAAATATTACTTTAAGAATATTACAGAAAAGGAAAACCTCGACGAAAGTGGACATTTTCGTTGAAAAATTTGGACCGTTTATGAGAAAATGTCTAAACGTTACTGGAAAAGCGAAATTTGAATATCTTTTCCGCAGAATAATTTTGAATTCATTGCAAATTATTTGAAGCACTTCTACTCACAAATGCAAAAATGTATCAACAAATCGCTGGAAATGTGCATATCACAGGCGGGAGGGATATTAAAAAATTACAATTCCGTAATTTTTAAGAAAACAAAGGAATACAGCAAAATGGCTACTGAGTCAACTTATTCAGTGCATTGTCTCTATCCGTACCCAAAGTTTGAAGAATAAATTTGGAGCTTTTTAGAAAATGGCGTTTGAGCATTTCTGAAAATGCTGAATTTTGAGCTTTTGAGAAACTTTATGAGACATCATTTTAAACACATGTACTCACTCATATGCAATAATGAAAACAAATCGTCGTTAATGTAAACAAATGACGTGAGAGCTATCACTTACTGATACTTTACATTTAGTACAAGTACTACCCAAAAAAGTTTAAAAGAAAAAAATTGGAGCGGTTTTAAAAAAAATATTGTTTGTGAATTTTTTTGATATTGTACACATTCCACTCAGTATTGGGCGAAAACTACCAACATTTTCAAAAAAGATGAGTGAAATAACTATGGAGTACAAATTTAATTTGAAGGAAATATCTCTATCTTCAATTTTGTGGTTGAGAAAAGACGGCGAAAAAATTCCGAACTTTAACAATTTTCGAAAATTCAGAGTTAACAGTGAAAAAAGAGTCTATGCCATCTTTATAAGTACAAGTATATTTCTCTTTCTTCTTTAAAAAAATTAGAACCAGTTTTGAGAAAATTTTGAAAATGTTCCAGAGGCATCATGTAAAGTACCCTCAAAATTTGAAATTTTTAAAATTGCAGAGCTTCCAGTCAAGCCAGACCAATGGGGGAATATCCATTTTGGAAAAAAGTCCTACAAACACTTTAGGCGCTACTGTTGTTCACCGACAACAATTGGACGTTTTTGAGAAAGAAAGAAAGAAAACAATAATCACACCACTTTATCAGTATCAGGGGACCCCAAAATATCAGAACATAACTCTCTATTCTACTCTGTATAACGATATGTCTACAAGAAAGTAAAAAAAGCTTTTCCCCCTTGTTACTTAAAAATATTTTTCATTTTCTTACGCTCTTTCACCGGTTTCTTACTTCTCTAAATAGGACCAGGATTTGCACATTTTGTACTTTCTCTTGCCATCATTGCACACAGTGCAAATTTTTTGATACACAGAGGATTAATTTTCTTTCAACTTCGTTGTATCTACAAGTGGCATTTATCTCTAAGCATAAATCAAATCTCTTTATACCATTCTTTTGTTGATTAAACCAAAGCAGATATTAAGCGAAATTTCGTTTCTTCCAATGAGTTTTCAATAAGGGGTTTGTCATTGTGAGAACATAATGAATTGTTGAATGTTCAGATCAATTCCCCAATATCTGTCTCAAGAAGAATTTCTTCAACTTTGATTTCCAACATAGTGAACAATGGTTACTAAAATTTGACTTGAGGCTTCCTGCCCATCTTGTGCCTTAGCTTCTTCTTAGCACTAGAGGAGAGTATGGGCCCTAGCAGCTTATCCATGATTCAGTATGCATATCAGTCAAATTTAAAATAAAAATGTAAAGATGAATTGATTTATTTTTTGTGTTTCCAGTTAGGTGAAGCCATCATTGATTGAAGGTAATTGTAAAGATTAGGCAAAGATGTGTACTATCCTCTAAATTGGGTTAGATAAGATAGTCAATGTCTTAAGTTAAACTAATTTCCTGCAACCAATTACCTGGCAGTTCAACTATAACACCAAAGGAACCGCACTTTAGACTCCAGTGATAGATCAGGCTCATGTACTAGGTAAAAAGAGAACCAGTTAACTTTCTTCGGGAAAAAAAAAAAAAAAAAGTATTTACAAGATATTCTAAATTAGATCCTGAAGATGAAGAAACAGTACAAATGAATAAACTCGTTCATGCTCTTATCAATACCTTAAAAACAGAGAAAAATGAATCACTTTAATGTGGCTACTCTAAGTGTCACAGAAGTGTTCAGAGATGCTCACACGCTACAAAGGGTAAGAAAATTCTGCTTTTAAAACTTAGGCAGAGCTAAGGACTATTGGTGGTTTAGAATTATTTTAAATTGTAGTACTACCATTTGCATTTTGAGATACAAAGAAATAATACAAATTTTCAGTTCAAGACGAGTAAAACCAATAAACATTACAAATATTGAAGTGTAACAAACACAGTGTCAGTTCAATTTCTACCAGGCCTCCACAAAACACCCCTTTTTTGCCCACCTAAAAGAACTGCTAAAGAATAGAACACGGTGCAACTGAAGGAGGTCGTTTCGCGCCAAACCGCTCGGACGAGGGGCAAATTCCACGAAGGGGCCGAGGGGTGGGTAGGGGTTTACGAAGGAAATCTTCCATTAGGAATGGGTAGCGAGCAGTGTGCTAACTTGGTTCATACTTATAATTAGCAAAGCGTGGGCGATTTAAATAAACTGTACAAATTACACTACTGAAATAATTTTAATGGTTCGTAATTGGTTACGAACGTGACGTCATAAGTTAGGGGAGGTAATTTCACCGATCTTGTCGGAGCTCTAATACCAAACCGTCACAAACGGCTCTACAACCAATTATCAAATACAATCTTGGTGGTGTGCCCCTTAGATTTTGTGCGTCGGAGTAGCTGTAGAAGTGGTTTCGTAGAAACGTTTCTGACGTACAGATACGTTTCTGGCACTCTTCTGACTCTTTGGTATTGTGTTTTTGAGTGTCGAGTGTTTGTGCTACGATGGTGTGAATAAATGTGTTGTTTCTTTTACGTGTTGCGCCGAAGAGGCTGTTTGGCTGCGTTTGAGTGGGCGCAAGAACGTGGTTTGATTGCTGCAGGATTTACATGGCCTGTGTGTAAGTGTCCGATGAGGTTTGCCAAACGAAAGGAGTTGTGTGATCGGTACCAGTGGAAGTGCAGTAATAAAGGGCCCACTTCTCACACGCGAGTTCTGTGTGGAAGAGGTCAACTGACTTGTTCCTTGGGGGTATTCATTTCTTTCGGAGATTTTGCTTAATTTTAAGGGAGGGCTTAAGGACAACCCTCTCCACCAAGCTTCTCTAAGGGCGTACCGGCGTTCTCTACTTAATCCATTTGAAAAACTCATTAAAAATGTAGGTAAAATTATTGCAAAGAAAATAACATTTTACGTATCGAAATATTCATTAAAAACTCAAATTTAATCACAAAAAAAGCGTTCATAAAAGTGTGAAAAACAAAAGTATAAATCAAAGTAAACTGACAATAAAATACGAATTTCATTTACTACACGGACCATTCCAATTTCATTAAAATATACACAACCAGCTGAGTTACCTATCTCAGACCCAGCATTTCCCGTTTGGCTGGAACACAACATAGCAAACCGCTCTGATAGGGTACTTTTTGCTATTGCGATCAATGTATTTCAAGGATGAGCCCTCATAAAAGTGCTATAGACAGAGAACATCTTCCCTTCCACATCCTTGGCCCCCCCTCTCCACTTACACTAACATGCACTACTCTACCACTCGTCAGGAGCTTGTTCACAAGCTTACAACTGATTCTGGCTGTTACAGTGCTCTGTTGGGGAAAATACCTAGAGGAAAATCCATGAGACACGTAGGTTCAGATCTCATCCAGCAGGGGATGGACATGGCCTTCTCCCGGAATAAAACATTAACTACACTAATAGGACTAATCAGCATAGCAGTTGAAATGATGAAACAGATCAATCACACATAAGAATATTAACAAAATTTGTTACCGGTTATGATTATGAGTTTGAAATTTTAAAAAGGGGGAGTGGGATTATTTGGATGCACCATACTTACTGAATATACTTTAATTTTCGTGTGGTGAAAATCATTCTATTATATTTCCTAAATTTAAAAAGTAATATTCTGCAATAAATAAAAAACCCACTATTTGTATGTTTTTCTTTATTTTAACAATGTTTATTTCAACCCTAAATTCACGAACATCTTACAAACTGACATAAAAAATACCTAATCTATTAAATTAATTCATCTCGCATCACAGAATCACAGTGCTAAATACATTAGCTTGTAGTTTTTAACGAAAGTAACAATTCCTCTCATCTTTTATCACTTCAAATAGGAGAATTAGTTATTGGTTTCAACTTCAATCAATTACAGGAAGTCGTCACTTTTTCAAATATTTTTAACAAGTGTTCTTTTTCAATATAAAACTAGATTCAGTGTGTGGGCCTGGGTTGGGCATGGTTGGATTCGATTGCATGTGAAGTGAAACGGTTATTGCAATAGCAGGTAGCCTGCTTAGAGCACCGCTACGACCACCTCCCATCTCAACACATTCTGCCATTCAGAAGATAAGTCTCGGAAGTCTAGGTACAGCTTCCCATGAACAGGTAGAACACATGCATATTAAGATGGCATTCCAAGAAGAAGTTTTAAAATGATCTTTAGCAGTTTTCAGTACCACTTTTGAGAGTTTTCCTTCAATAAATGAATACCTATCCAACATGTAAAAAATCAATAACTGAAGCAAAACACACAAATATATTTAAAAATTGCTACTCACCAATTATTGACTTGCATTTGGGATTGATAATACCACTTGGCAACAAATGGAAATCATACTCTCTGTCTTCAACCACAACAGTATGACCAGCATTATTTCCACCCTGAAAACAAATTTCAACATATAGTAGAATTAATTCTATTAATTGAAAAATGCCTTTTCAGATCTCCAATACTGAACTGAAACGTACGACACAAACACTAAATGGTATTTTTACGTTACGATAAAATGTTAACTATCAGAGTGAAAGTATACATTGAATCTTCCTAGGCAACACAGTGCAATGCAATTTTACGTAATACAAGCAGTTCAACAACTCAAGTTATAAATTTGAATGGTCCAAGTCATTGTTTATAGTCTTAACACACAAAATGCGAAAAATTAATCACACGTTACCGAAGAATAAATCCTGCGGTACAATTATAAATGTGCATTCGGCACAGGGGAATCTCACCTGGCAACGACACACTATATCCGCATCCGTAGCTAACATATCAACTACTTTTCCTTTTCCTTCATCACCCCATTGTGCACCTAAAACGACTGTCACTTTACAATTACTTTCTCTCCGAGCCCTTTTAGGTCGTGTCAACATTGCCTGCCCGTTCACTGCCTGCCGATCCACTTCCATTTTCACGTGATCGCAACCGCAACGCAATCACATACTTCTCTTCAACCACGTTTCCTCTCGGATCGCTCGCCTCGCCACTCGCCTCCCCTTGCAGTTCGACTCGTTCACGACCGACTCTCCGAACGCAATGAAAAATGATTCACAGTGATGACCGATAATTTCGTTATCACGCATTACACGGTGAAAGATATATTTCTTACCATGACGCATTACCACACTGTGTAAGATTTTTTTAACTGCGATTACCACGCAAAAAAAATCTTCCACGGCATTACCGCATTATTAAAAACGAGGTAAATGTGGCGTCTTCCATACTTTTAAATAGTTTAAAAATTTTTCATTGTGGCTCTGCCCAAAATATACGTATAAATATGTCTGCTGAGCTTTGCCACCACAGTATAATTGTGCTGCCATTGTGCTTGTACTGTACTGCCACTGCCAACAGAAATGTCCAGCGTCACAACTTTTGGCGAGAAAGTGTTGGGAGGCATGTTCTTGCGGTAGTAAGTAAGGGTTTTCTAAAGCAGTAGTTAGTTTTGGGATGTGTGTGTGGTTGCTGAGGCTTTTCTTTCGTTGGTTATTTACAGCGCTATTTGCTTTCTGTCGGTTTCAGTTTCTGGCTGCTTATCTTTTTCAAGCCTCTTTGAATACTTATTTCTACTCCTCCCCATTCCGCGCATTTGTTCTCTACTTCCTCACTCCCAGCACCTTCCTATTCTCCTCCACACAATCCATCCATCGGAGGGTAGTCTGTGGTCAACACTAGCGCTTAAACCGTTGCGCCGATTTTCTCCACAATTGATATTCCCCAATCGATCAGGCTGATGTCGACCCCCTTGAATTTTAAATCGAAGTTTTAATTTTGTACTTTACATAAAGCTCCTGAGAAATTTTCGGAATTTCCAAAAAAAGGGTCCACTTTTTTTTGTTGAATTTTGTTAGAGAACATTTAATAGAATAATGCAGGGCTCACATACGTTAACATTTCTAATTTTTCGAAAATTGCAAAAGTTCAATTTTTTCGGTTTCTTCCTACAACTAAAATATTAATAAAATATATTTTTTCCTTAATGAAATCTGTTCTTTAGATAAAGATTTTAAAATAAGATAATGTACAATTTTCGATCGTTCGAATAGTTTTTGCGTTATTTTGCATGAAATATAGGCCATTTTTAATGTTTAAAAACAATTGTTTAAACAAAAACAATTCTTTTCCTCAAAAATTGCACAAAATATATTCCTCAATCCTTGATATTACCACCGCACAAAAAGACGTGCAACATCACCTTTCCCAGTTCTCCAACTGGGACAAGAAATGGCACATCCGGATAAACCCAGCAAAAAGTCAGCCCAAAAACTTCACATTCCTCAGACCAAAAAATCATCCCTCTCTCAAGTATGAAGGAAAAAATATATCTTGGCTCCCAAACAACAAGTCAGTCAAATTTCTTGGTGTACTTTTTGATAGAAGGCTCACTTGGAAATCAAATATTCTTCACAAAATACATCTGGCCACCCGTAGAGCCCACCAATTAGATCCCATTCTCAAAACGTCTTCACCCCTGCGACTCCACGTTGCTTCTCATCTATACCAATCAATGTTTTTTCCAATCTTATTCTACGCTGCTCCTATCTGGGTCTCAGCCAGCAAATCAAATATCCAAAAAATGCAGATTTTCCAAAATAAATTCCTCCGAAACATTACAAAAGCTCACTGGTTTGTACCTAACCCCAGGTATTTAACGAACTTGGCAACATCGGTCCTCCAATCTTCGTCCATTTACCCCTCCTATCTAGTTGCTTCTGTGCTAAAACTCCCCAGACTCCCTCAACCGTACATTTCAATATCGGGAAAGAACATCCTCACCACAACAGACTAAAGAGGAAACTACCGCGACAGTTCTTCGACCGCCCCCCCCCCC